TGTCTAAAATTAACACCCACCAGCATGACTGTTCTGTTCATTGATTGTCAGCACTTAAATTCTCATTATCTGTCTTATAAGCAGGTTTTGTGGTGGTGAAAGGTGCAGACTGAAGTGTCAATCTACAGTACAGTGGTACAACAAGCAGTGATAGTACAAGCTTCCCCACACTTCCCTCGCAATATGCCTGAAGTCCTAGCTAGAGGAACAACATCACAGAATGATATGTTTCCAAGTATCTGGCTTTTGTTGTTTTGTGGAGGAGAGGGGGACGTTTGGGGAAAGAAAATGAGGTAGACTGGTTGGCTTAGGTATTATTTATTGTTTATATTACTGTAGCTCTCAGGCGCTGTACATGCACAGAACAAAATCCATCTGCCGTTTATCTTTAAAGTGCCTGTCTAAATGTAGCTAAGGCTGGCAGTGACGCAAAGTTGTTACACAAGAATTTGGTATATGTCCGAGCTACCTAGCCTGACTTTAAGTGGCAAGTATCCACATCACAAAAGGGAAATTCACTATTAATTGGCATTCTTATTTAAAATACCCAAAAATATGCTATACACCTCACAAAAACAAATAATGACATGGTACCTAGCCTGAGGCACTTTACAACCTAAATTTAACATGACAAAATGTGAAGGTCCTAAAACAGGGGCTGGCAAACTTTTTGGCCTGAGGGCCACATCGGGTTTTGGAAATTGTATGGAGGGCCGATTAGGGGAAGCTGTGCCCCCGCCCCCTATCTGCCCCCCCTTGCTTCTTGCCCCCTGATGCCCCCCCGGACCCCTGCACCATCTACCCCCCCCATCCCCTGCCCCGCTCCTTGTCCCCTGACTGCCCCCAGAACTCCTGCCCCTGACTGCCTCCCACCGGTCCACCCAACCCCACCTCCTTCCTGATTGCCCCCCCCAGGATCCCTGCCCCCATTCAACCCCCCCATTCCCCGCCCTCTGATGCTCCGACCCCATCCACATTCCTGCCCCCCCAACCACCATGCCAAACTCCCCTGCCCTCTATCCAGCCCCTCCTGCTCCCTGCCTCCTTACCACGCAGCACAGAGCACTGGTGGCTGTCGGCGCTACAGCCGCGCCACCCAGAGCATTGCCCAGCCGTCCAGAGCACTGGTGTAGTGTAGTAAATTGCTCTCCGGGACTGCTACCAGTAGCACGTTCCTATGTGGAGCAGTTTAATACACTACACCGGCAGCATGGCGCGCTGAGGAACAGCAAGGGAGGGGCTGTGGGGGCAAGCCTCCTGGGCCAGGAGCTCAGGGGCCAGGCAGGAGGGTCCAACGGGCCAGATGTGGTCCATGGGCCGTAGTTTGCCCACCTCTGTCCTAAAACTATCTATTTAGAGTTTTATACTGCTACCAGTCATCAAAGTATCTGAGTGCCTTTTACTAAAATCAATAGCAAAATCCCTAGTAGGCTTCAGGAAGTCTCTGTTTCTCCCTGTTTGGGGTCTAAACTTAGTTCGGGGTGGGGCTATTTCATTTGTTTTTTTGATTAATATGAGTTATGGGTTAGAAGGGGTGTCAGAAGTGGACCAAAAAAGCAGGAGGGAAGGATGTTGAAGGACAATGCAACAGTCGTTTCTTTCAGTTACTCAATAAGTCTCAAATGTATCTTTCTGGTTATGTTAACTTGTTTTTTTCTCTCCTTTCCCCTTACTCACTTCTCACGGGTTGTCGAGGTTGATTCCCCACTCTGGCACTTTGAACCTGCAAGGATTCTAAAAAATTAATACTGGCCACTCCAGGCTTATTTTAAGCTTCCAAGGTTACAGCTTTTCTCTGGTTTCAGAGTAACAGCCGTGTTAGTCTGTATTCGCAAAAAGAAAAGGAGTACTTGTGGCACCTTAGAGACTAACCAAGTTATTTGAGCATAAGCTTTCGTGAGCTACAGCTCACTTCATTGGATGCATACTGTGGAAAATACAGAAGATGTTTTCTCTGATCTTGGATAGGTAGATGCTGCCACCAGCCAAGTGCAAAACCCCTTTGAGAATCCAGGAAGGCACACTTGGGAATTTCTTCCTGTGGGGTACCCTCAAGCCCTTTCACACACACACACCCCCTCTGGGGAAGAGCTGAGACAGAAGAACAAAGGAAATCCGCTGTTGCCACCAGCTAATTAAACAACATGTGCACAAACCTCTTAGGACACAAAAATCCAATTCTGTTCTTTAAAAAGGTACATTTTATTAAAAAACAAAAGGAAGAAAATACATCTGGGAACTTAGGCTATTGCTAGATTTAAAAAGAGCAACTACAATAATTAAGCATCAAAAATAGTTTCTTGAGGTCCAGTTTAAAGGTTACAAGCAAAACAAAAGCACCTGGGGTTAGCACAAAGAAGTCTACAAGCCATAAAGAAATAAGAGGGATAAACCTAATCATGTCTTCCTAGACATTTCCTGATCTACTTACATATCTGGGGTTGTAAATAAGTAATTTCTAGATATGATTCTGATGATTTTTTCATACCTGGCCCGAAACTTCTTACAGCCCGGTTTACCTTTCCCCGGAGAACGACAGACAGACAGAAGGGAAGTCTTTGTTTCAATTTTAAAAAGTTCTAGCCTTCCGATTGGCTCTTTTGGTCAGGTGCCCACTCACTTCCTTTTACCTATGCATAGCAGCGAGATTTTTTAACCCTTTACAGATAGAGCAATTAGAAAACAGCTACTAAAGGGATTTTATAGCTACTGGCTGGCTGGGTGTCCATAAGGGAGCTTCCCCCCCTTCATTTATCACATGCCCCCCAAATCACAGATGGTGTTGGCTCACTGAAGAAGTTTTTTCTTAGTCTTTTTGACTGTGTGAAGCCACTTCAGTGCAGCATGATCAGTTTGCAGGTGGATACGCCGCCTGGTATGGGCTTCTCCAGAACATACACAATGGTGTAACATTCTTTTTCTGAGACTGACCAGTAGCTTTCCCTTTTAGAAGGTTTTTTGCTGAGAAACACGACAGGATGGAATTGTTGATCTGGTCCTTCCTGCATTAAAACTGCTCCTACACCATATTCGGACACATCTGTGGTTACAATGAAAGGTTGGTCGAAGTCCGGGGCTCTGAGAACAGGGTCAGACGTAAGGGCCGCCTTAAGCCGGTTAAAGGCTTTCTTACACTTCTCAGTCCACTGAACTGCATTTGGCTGTTTTTTCCTGGTTACGTCATTCAGTTGGGTGGCAATTTGGCTGTTGTGTGGTACAAATTGTCTGTAATACCCAGCCAAGTCCAAGAAAGATTGGACCTGCTTCTTTGACTTAAGGACAAGCAAATTTTGGATAGCATTTACTTTAGCCTGTAGAGGATTGATCGTTCCTTGACCCACCTGGTGTTCAAGGTACGTTACCCTGTTTAGGCCTATTTGACATTTTTTGGCCTTAATGGTTAATCCTGCCTCCCTTATGCGCTGGAAGACAGCTTGGAGGTGTTCCAGGTGTTCTGCCCATGAATTTGAGAATATGGCCATATCATCAAGGTAGGCGACTGCAAACTCCCCAAATCCAGCCAGATTTACCAGTCTCTAGAAGGTGGTGGGAGTGCTTTAGCATTGGGTAGTGAAGACATACCTTAGAGAGTTTACAGCGGTGCAGCTGCACCACTGTACGCTCTCTAATGTAGCCACTCTAAGCCGACAGGAAAGAGCTCTTCTGTTAGCTTAACTACTCCAGCCCCCATGAGTGGCAGAAGTTGTGTTGGTGGGAGAAGCTCTCCTGCCAGCATAGCGCTGTTCATGCCAATTTATTCGCACTCCTGAGTGACACAAATTATGCCAACATAAGCTGTAGTGTAGACATAGCCTTATAGAGGGGATGTTGTGGTCAAAATGACAGGTAAGGAGGATGATTTTGGCAACATTACTTTGGTCAGACTGGAAGAAGGAAACGTTAATATACAGAAGACCAGAAAAGCAGATGTTGCAATAATCAAGACAAGTGATTTGACTATTGGGAAAAAAAGGAAGGAGGGATTTTTTTAAATGTTGTGACGGAGGAAGAGATGTGGAGGGAGAATCCCAGGAGGAGTCAAAGATGACCTCCTAAATTGCATTTTCTGTAATACAGAAGCTCGCCGTCTTGACTAACAATTGCCTGGAAGGGTGAAATACATTAGCTTCCGTTTGCTGTTTTAGCTTCAGAAGAGCAAGTGCATATATTGTAGCAAGCAAAAAGTCATACTGTGCGTACAGCAATGTATTGCAGCTTATGTATTAGATACTGCTTTCTTTATATTTTGACGGTGTACAAAATGCACCACTTAAATGGATTTTGCTGTAAGAACCTACAGAAAGTTATTAAGATAAAACAAAAAATCAGTAGTTTTATTTATTATTTTTGCTACATATAACCAATCACAAAAGCTGAAGCCAACAACAGGCAACAGTAGCTGGATAATAAGATCCTAATCCAAATTGCACGAACGTCAATAAACTCCCATCGACTTCAGTAAGCTTTAAATCAAGCTCCGAGTGACCTGCAGTTAGCATCTTTCAGAACTATAAAACTACACCAAAGTGAAAGGGAAGAAATATCTGTACACAAAATAAAGATCCACCCGGATTTCTACATCTCAAAGGAAAAACAACTTTGTGGAAATCCTTGTCACAAAAACCTGTGGTCTCTCCAGCTAATACTCTTTTCTCTGTACTACTTTTAGAAATTTAATTGTAACTTTAATCAATTTAGGACTTACATCATAAAGAATAGGTCTCCAGGAAAAAAAAGAAAACCTTTATGTATTTCCTTCACTTATAGATTATAAGAAAAAAAATGATTTCCATAGCAGTCTTTTCCCTTTCGTAAATTTGCATAAGCATTATTGAGGCTAAATCCTCTTTTTTTGTCTGTAATGATGCAAATTGCTTCTTTTGTAATTACTGTTTATTTGCATTTTAGGAGTCCAGTATCTTGAATTCTTAGGAGCTGCTAAAGATCCATTAATTTTAGTCAGATACTGTACGTTTAACCATATGTATTTGTTGTCACAGAAAATAAAACTACCTAAGAAAATATCCAGACGTTTTCCAGCCTATGAGCTCTATCTCTATGGGGAAGGGAATTACGCTGAAGAAAACAAAAATCTGATTTTGACAGGGATTCCAGTTCTCTTCCTTCCTGGGAATGCTGGGAGTTATAAACAAGGTATGGCTATAGTAAAGTGAATTTTGAAAGTTGTACAAACAGAGTTATCTGTTTTAGTTAAAGGCAGGAAGAGTTAAGTCTCTGGAATATTACTAAGACAGGTCAAAGCTGTTACAGGAATGATATCAAAATGCCTCATTGCTACTACTTTAAGTATAAATAATGAAGAATTTCCTTATGTACAGTGTCCAGGAGATAAGGGGCCATATTTTCAGCTAGTGTAAATTGGGGCGTCTCAGTTGAAGTCAGTGAAGCTATGCTGATATTCACCACCGGAGAACCCTGTCGAAGATGTTTACCTGGAATGAGACTTCACAGATTTTGAAGTCCATAAAGGCATAGACATATTTGCTCAGCTACTGATAGCCTCTCATTGCAAAAAGAAAAATAGTCCAACTGTAGAGGAATGATATAAAAAAATACAGGAAGTTGGTTTTATGGGAAAAATTACCATACCAATTACATACCCAGCGAAATACACAGAGGACAAAAAAGATACTTAAGAATTTGATTACCGGTACCTTTTATTCAATACTTAGACAAAGTACATTCACCTGCCCAAAAAAAAAAAGCACACCTGTCCTTTTCTTTAATATTAACTCTTTATAGACGTATGTAGTCTGTTTAAAAATGTGTAATCAGACATTTCACTCAATATAATAAAATAACTAGAAATGACATCAAAGGTGTTTTATGTATGCTGTTTGTAATATGGTAACACTGTAATCAATAGAGAGCTGATGACTATATTCCTGTATAATGTCTCAACAAAAGCTACGATTATTTTTTTGTTTCTGATATTTACATGGCAAGGATTTGTAAACCTGTTAACACTTCATAAATAAATATATAGTAAAACAAAGAAATAGCATAGCTTTAAATAATTTGACTCAATGGAATGTATTATTATTTAACCTATTAAGATTATAGATTTAATTCTGGGACTGATTCCCCACAGCTTTACCAGTTTTACCCCAGTGTATGTCCATTGAAATCAAATTGATTTCACTTAAAACTGAAATAATGCTGTGTTGAATCAATCACTGTTTTTAAGACACATGTACATTGTCTGTCCAATGATTTAACTAAAAATTTTTACACAGTTCTATGTGAGGTTAGTTCTCTTAAATTAAGATAACTTAATTACGTTATTACATTTCTTTCACCTGACCACAAAGTGTTGTTTGTCCTCTACCCAAGGAAAGTAGGAAAGCATCCTCGTTTGAGACTAGGGTCAATGTGACCCTTTCTGTACTGGCAAAAATAGGACCCATATAAATCACTACTGTTGCCCTCTGGTGGAAGCTCTTATGTAAATAAGTTCAGACCAGCCCAGGCACACAGTGATGAAAATGCCCCTAAATCATAGCTTTACTGTTGTTACCACTCGTGGGTTCCAGTGGTGAGTTTGGGGTTCTATTTTCACTATTGTGGATACATCCTAAAAGGTACTTGTGCTTCAGGAACCCAGCACCTCTGTATGATTCCCACAGGGATCATTCTGTAATTCCTCTAAATTTCACTAACGTAGGCAGGAAAAATCCACAGTCTGCTACTCAGACCAGGTCTGTTGTATTACACCATTATTGGCAACCTGACTGACCTGCAAAAATCTGATTGATTTTCAACTTGAACAATATTTTAGAACAGTCATATTGAATAAAAGCACAACTGAATTAGAAGAAGGGGTAAAACTCACTAGCTACTGGAGAATTCTGAGGTCTTTGATATCAAATCTAGTTTTAGATACCTTAAAAATAAGCTTCAACTCCTCCTCCCATCTACAAAGGCGGTTTTGGATTCGCTGCTAGTTACCTGAGGGGCAAGTGGCTCCACCCTGGCATGTTGTTCCAAGTCTTAATGTAGCCTGTTTCTACATTTGGTATAAACTCATTATCTCCTGCTGTACTTCATTCCATTCAGAGATTGGAAGTAATAGTTGTATATTTGTAGAGGAAAATGAAGATATGAGAGTACTTTGTAATTAAGTAGTGTTTACATTTTTGAAAGTGCTGTGCAACCATTAACTAATTAAATATAGCATAATGAGTGTTATTCTGAAGACAGTCATTCTTCAAGGATCATTACTTGTTTTAAGAAAGTGCTTTGAAACAGAATTATTCAGCATTCTAATGGTGATGTTAAAAAAAACCTCTGTGCTTTTGTAAACAATTAGTGTATGCCCCAAAATAGTTTTAGTTTAGCTGAGTAAATAAGCCTTGCATGCATTTAGCCAATGAATAACTTATTACTGACTTTTTTTAACCTTCAAAGGTGCTTTAATTCTTTTGACTGAAATTATACATACTTTTGTCAAAATGACATAGTAAAACATTTCATAATTTATAGTTTTAGAAAACATATTTAAAGGCATGTGAGGACAATGATATCCAAAGAAGATTACTGAAATAATCATCACACAAGATGCCAAATGGACACTTGTAATTATGTTTAAAGAAGTACAGACTCTATTGTGAATTAATTAGGTCTTTTTGAAAACACAGCAATACAGAGAGTAACCATTTAGGAATCAAAGGGAAACATATAGAGTGATCTGGATCACTTGGTAGTCTGGGCCCACTTAAAATGTGTGTTATTGCAACCAAACTGAAGGTCATATATCTAGGAACAAAAAATGCAGGTTGTACCTACAGAATGGAGGAACTGTATCCTGGAAAGCTGTGACTCTGAAAAGGATTTAGGGATCATAGTGGACAAACATGAGCTCCCAGTGCAATGCTGTGACAAAAAGGGCTAATGCAATCCTTGGATGTATAAACAGAGGAGTAGCGAGGTGATTTTACCACTGTCTGTGGCGTTTCTGAGACTGCTAACAGAATACTGCATCCAGTTCTGGTGTCCCCATTTTAAAAAAGAATACTGAAAAATGGGATAGAGAAGAGGCACAAAAATTATTTGATAGCTGCAAAAATGCCTTATCATGAGGCAAAAAGATCAAGAAGAGACTTGATTAAAGTGTGTAAGTACCTTTATGGGGAGAAAATATCTGGTACTAAAGATCTCTTTAATCTAGGGGGGAGAGGCATAACAAAGACTAATGGCTGGAAGTTAAAGCCAGACAAATTTGTATTAGAAATAAGGTACAAAGTTAACAGCAAAGTTGATTAACCATTGGAACAAACTACCAAGGAAAGTGGTGGAGCTCCCTCTCTTGAAGTCTTCAATTCAAGACTGGATTCTTTTCTGGAAGATATGCCTTAGTCGAGCACAAGTTTTGGGCTCAATACAGGAGTAACTGAATGAAATTCTATGGCCCGTATTATATAGGTGGTCAGATTAGATGATTTATGGTCCCTTCTGATCTTAAAATATATTAATCTTACCAGAGTGCTGTGGGAATTATTTAATATCTGTTCAGTGCTTTGAATATGTGGTGTTTAGCTTTTTCAACAGGGCTCATTGAGGTTGTTCGATAACTGAATCTGCACAGTGAAAGGATATTTCCAGGGGTGACTAAAGACAAAGCAGGATCTAGAGCTCACAAAACGTTGCTCTCTAGGAGAAACTTGCATTTTGTCCCCAGAGAGACTTTTCCCCATGCTCAAGCATTCTTCCTTGTAGTCTTTATACTCGGGCTTCAAGCGATTAAAAAAATCTTGCAACGCCAGCTACAATAGTGTCATGCAATCGCCTGTTCTCACTTTCAGGTGACATTGTAAATAAGAAGCTAGCAGCATTACCTCCTGTAAATGTAAACAAACTTGTTCGTCTTAGCGATTGGCTGAACAAGAAGTAGGACTGAATAAATTTGTAGGCTCTAAAGTTTTACATTGTTTTGTTTTTGAGTGCAGTTATGCAACAACAAAAAAATCTACCTTTGTAAGTTGCACTTTTATTATAAAGAGATTTCTTATCAACTAACTGATATTTTTCATCCTAATTTCTCATTTATGTATGTATGTATGTCTGAAAACAAGGGAAGTATACTTATAGGTTGGTAAAAGAGGAAAGCTTTCCACTCTTTTTGATGCATACAAATGACTTGCATCAAGTGAACACTGGTCAGGTTTAAAGAACTTGAATATCCAGTGGTAGTAAGATAACGTTTGTTTTTACCAGCTACATAGTGACTTGTTTGTATTGGAGAATCCAACTGAGAGTAGTAGCGTTGACTACAGTTAGAAGAAAGGTGTTTCTGTGATTTAACTAGTGCAATTTCTTTTCCTAGTACGTTCTCTTGGCTCTATAGCACTTAGAAAAGCAGAAGACATTGACTTCAAGTACCATTTCAATTTCTTCACTGTCAATTTTAATGAGGAGCTGGTTGCACTATATGGTGGTAGTCTGCACAGACAAACCAGATTTGTGCATGAGTGCATTAAAGTAATTCTTAAGCTGTACAAGGTAAGACGTGAGGTATGCACATGAATAGTATTTTGAGATTTTTTTTTTCCTTTTCTACTAAAAACTGGGGTGGAATTTTTGTTCAGTGGAAAATTGTGGGATGCAAATCTTTAATTGTAATAGATATATTGGCTATTATTTGTGTGGTGTAGATTATGTGGATGAGAGAAAAATACTCCTGTTTTAGTCTTGATTTAATAAACAAATTTTGGATTTTGTCTTTACTCTCATGGTGAGGGTGCCCAAAGCCTTGGATAGTTTTCTCATTTTTTTAAATAAAATATTTCCATATAATATGTAAACTACTTTGTAGTAGAAATGCAGTAGGCTCATTTATGTTTTCAGAACTGTTTATTTAAATATTTAATACAGATTTAGAAAACATGCCTCAGCCTAAAAGCTTATTTGCTGGTCTGCTTCCTTAAGGTTCTCAAACATTATAATATCAGCTATAAACTACAGTTTTTGAAGTACAGCACCTCCTACATTCTAACTTTTTCTTGTGATGAGCCTGTGTTTACTTAGTGATTCTGGAAAACCAAAGCATCTAAAATATGGGTCAGTTAGTAACATCTTGTCAAACTATTAAACCTGACTATTTTCTTTGAGCAACATGATTAATTTAAGAGGAAAAATGCACAACTTTTAACTAAATGATAGATCAACATCTAAGGCCTTGTCTACACTACAGGAGAAATTCGATCTAAGTTTCGCAATTTGAGTTACGTGAATAGCTTAGTAGCTTAGATCTACTGACCGTGGGATCCACACTACGCAATGTCAACGGGAGACGCTCTCCTGTCAACTCCACCTACTCTTCTTGATCCGGTAGAGTACAGGAGTCGATGGGGGAGCGATCTGTGGTTCATTTAGCGGGTCTTCACTAGATCCACTAAATGAACTGCCGATGGATCGATTGTTGCTCGTTGATCTCCTGGTAAGTGTAGACAAGCCTTAAGTTTCATCTGTTTGTTTAAATGAATGTTCTCAAATTCTAACTTTGAGTGATTACTGTTTTCTTTTTCTGAAGGATCAAGAATTTGCTCCAAGCAGTGTTGCAATAGTAGGTCATTCCATGGGTGGTCTTGTTGCAAGAGCATTGCTCACTCTAAAGAATTTTAAGCCTGAATTTATAAACCTCCTCATTACACAAGCCACACCTCATGTTGCACCTGTAATGCCTTTAGACAAATATCTTACTGGTAAGTTTACTTCAGTTAAGTGTTGCATTGGGCACTATGTTTCTTTCTTAATGCTTAAGTGTGTGTGTGTGTGAGAATCTGTTGCATTACAGTGGCCTGAAAACACATTGTTATGGAAAAAGAGAGATGCTCTTAGAAGCTCTAATCTTTCACTCTTTCTCCTGTGACAGAACTGGGACACTAAAAGAACATCAGTTTGTCACATAAATATCAAAATATTGTCTTTCAGCTTTTAACTTGACCTTTGGTGTAGTGGTGGGAACACTTAATTTCCAGCATCTTACACAGAAAATAGAAGTAATTTGGAACCTTGTAAATTACAGGTCAAAGTGATTTCCTGTTTCCCCCATGAGCGAATGCTTCCTTGTGTTAAACCTTGATATTCAAAATCACGTTCTCTTCTGACTGTATACCTAGTTATTGTGTTACTTTTTATGCAATTTGCCAAGTTTTATCCTGCCCTCTCAGTGAAGTCAAAGGTATTTGGATGGGGCAGTGAGAATATTAAATACAAATATTGGTCCTAATTGAGATTAAATGTTTGTAGATAGCATAACGTACAAATTTTCAGAGCCCAAAGGAGAAAAGAATTACTGTATTGACATTATATCAATACTCTGCAGTATTTTAATTTTTATGAAGTTACACTTGATAAGAATGCACATTTCAAAAGTTATGAATCTGTACTGTGCATTGGGTGACCAGGTGTCCGGTTTTCGACCGGACACCCGGTCGAAAAGGGACCCTACCGGCTCTGGTCAGTACCGTCAACTGTTAAAAGTCCCATTGGCAGTGCTGTGGAGCTAAGGCAGGCTAGTCCCTACCTGTTCTGGCTCCATGCTGCACCCTGGAAGTGGCCAGCAGGTCCAGCTCCTAGGCAGGGTGCCCACAGGGCTCCGCGTGCTGCCCCCGCCCCAGCACTGGCTCCACACTCCCATTGTCCAGGAACCATGGGGGTGGTGCCTGCGGGCAAGAGCAGCACACAGAGCTGCCTACGCCTAGTAGCAGGATCTACTGGCCACTTCTGGGGCGTAGTGCAGTGCCAGGACAGGGAGGAAGCCCGCCTTAGCTCCCTCGCTGTGCCGCTGACCGGGAGCCTCCGGAGGTAACCCCCCTCCCGAACCCCCTGCCCCAGCCCTGAGCCCCCTTCCACACCTTGAACCCCTCTGCCCCAGCCTGGAGCCCCTCCTGCGCCCCAGAGCCCACACACCCAGTTAGAGCCCTCACCCCCTTCTGCACCCCAACTCCCTGCTCCAGCCCAATGAAAGCGAGTGAGGATGGGGGAAGAGTGAGCTACCAAGGGAGGGGGAACGTAGTGAGCGGGGGGCAGGGCCTCCGAGAAGGTGCGAGGCCTTGGGGAAGGGGCAGAGCTAGGGTGTTCCGTTTTGTGCGATTAGAAAGTCGGCAATCCTAACTGTGCAGTAGTATATTTTAGTGTGTGTGTGTGTGTGTATATAATTATTTATTATTATTTATTAGTATATTATATGTAGAATTTTTTGTGTTCTATCTTTTTGTTTGTATTTTGTGGCAGCTAAGCATGGGTGATCCCTATCCCCTTGATTTTGCCACTGCTGCCTTTCTATTAATTTCTACCTCTACTGTTGACTGATATCACAAATGCACACTTCCGTTTGGCCTTCCTTATTGATCACTATCAATCACGAGATTAAATATTTGGAAGCGCATCCTCAGCTGGTGTAAAAAAACAGTTGCATCTGACTTGTCTGATCACCCCTGCATTGGGTACAGTTTTGTTGACTAACACAAGACTCAAAAATGGGAATGGAAACTTGACTTCTGGGTAGGCTGCCAGCACAGCTCAGAAAAAACTGTTTTTACTAAATGCTGTGAAAAAATTTCCACTGTTTCTTTGTATAAAGTGAATTTTAATCTATTTTCAATTTTTTAAAAGATTTTTATACAGCTGTAAACAATCATTGGATTTTAAAGGCCCAAGATGTAAGAAATCTAACTACCCTTTCTGTGGCGGGAGGATTCAGAGATTACCAAGTTCATTCAGGACTCGCTTTTCTACCCAGATTAAGTCAACATAGCAGTGCCTTATTTGTTGTGGTAAAATCTTTTTTTTTAAATTGTCTTCTAATGGTATTATGTTAACTGTTTATGGGCTGTATGTACCTGTGTCTGAATACAGTATGTATGGCGTAGTATAATAAATTCTTATTGCAGTATTACTAGGTTTGAAAGAACACATCTGATAATGAGATGTGCCATATACAAATTTCACTTTGGAGCACAAAGGTGAGGTGGAGAAAATTTCATTTTGTAGTAACTTTTTCCACTCTGCTTCATAATCCTTAGATACAGTGGATTTAAAGCAACTTGCATCACTAGTAATTAATAACTGGAAATTTGTTTGTTCTTTAACCTGATTTGTAACAGAATTCAGTTGGCTAGTAACTAAGAGAGTAACCAAAGGGTAGTATTGGACAATGGTTATTTTCATCAAAGGCGTTTTCATGTGCTGTTCCATAGTGGTGGTCTTGTATACATACCTTGAGCAAGGGGTACCAGAGGTTTACAGCATGTATATTGAAGAATGGTACATGGCGTCTTGTTATGCTGATAACACCCAGATTTATATTTCTATCTCCACCAACCCCACTGGAGAGATTTACCTGGGCTCAAATGGAAATTTGGGTGTTGGCTAGTGACTTGAAACTCAACCCAGACGAGTGAATTATTTCCCTGTTGCTGTTTGCCCCATGCTATAATGATTACATTGAAAGTTTGAAATAATCCCTGTCTGTTGAGAGCTGCTTGCCATTCATTTTAAGGTTTGCAGCCTGTGAATCTTGTTGAATTCCTACCTGATTCTGATTATCCAGCTGGTAGCAGTAGTCAAGAGTATCATCTTTTTTTGGTAATAAATGTGCATAATTTTAGTTTGGGTGCAGTCTTCACATTGGCGATCTATGCCTTTCTCATGTCAAAGCTGAGCTATTATAAAATGTTCTACATGAGACTCTACCTTCATATTATTAGGGAACTGCAGTTGGTGCAGAACATAAAGGCACTTATCTGGCATTTCACTCAAATATCATATTGCAACTGTGCTCCATGATTTTCCATAGCTATCAGTTCACTTTTGATTGAAATTTAAGATATTGGTTTTAACCTGTGAAGCCCTAAATGGGATCTTGGCTCTTACAAGTCCAACTCTTCCCCCCAGAGTGGTAGGACAGAAATTGTGATGCTCTAAGGCTAAAAGATTAAATGGTTGAAATGTACAGTTGCTAAATATTCTTTAGAGGTGGGAGGTAGGGGTATGTGTGTCTTGGTTCTGTTATGTTCCACCTGGTACTGTTTCCCCCTCTGTTCCACCCTGGATCTGTCAGAGTCCAGAACTGGTGACATTCAGGCTACATTGCAAGTCTCTCCTACTTACCCAGGTTTTGGAAGTGGATGCAGATGGCTGATGGATAGTTGGGAACATGGGATAATAGAATCCATTTAAATAAGTTGAGAAATGTATGTTTGTTTGTTTGTTTTGTTTTAAAGATAGTGAACCTTAACTTTAGGGAAAATGATAATTTTTATTTTTTTTTATTTTTTTTTTAAAGAAAACTAACCGTGAGAATTCAAAGTGTGTTCCTGAAGTGATAAGGTTTTTTCTCCAGCTTTATCTTAAGGCTAACCAAGCTCTTGTCTGATAATTTTGTAAAAGCCCATCTTAATAAATATTCAGACATAAATCACAAATACATTTTCAAATTTCTAATGTTTTAATGTTGAATCCCCAAAAAGCTAATATATTTTTCTCCCCCAAACAGAGCTCAGCAGTACCTAGAACTTGGGCCTCAACAGACCACCTCTCCATAGTATGGTAAGCAAATAGGACAAAGAAGTTAGGTAACTGACATGACATCTTTCTCCATCCCTTACCTTCATCTCTTTTTATAAATTCATTTAACTTCAGAGAGTAATTTTCTGAAAATATCTAGCCCATACCTTTTTTTGTAGTTGCATTTTTAAATATAGTGTTCCTTATGTTTTGTTCTAGGTGTAAAGAATTGGTCTTGGCTACCATTAGGGCATTTTTTGATGTTATTGATGAAACCACCAAACAGGTTTGTAGTTCCCATTTCCTGCATGCCCCATAAATACTGGGAGGAAGGTGAGGATTTTCTCCCCCCAACAAAGTGATGTTTTAGCTACCATTGTAATAGTCAGGGACAAATACTGTGTATTACTTTCTGATAATTTTATATCATGTTGAAAATTGCTGGCTTTTTGATGTCTCGTGCTCCAGAATCTTGTGTTTTGGGTTCTGTGAAGAATGACAATGGTTCAGTTTTTGCTGCTGGCTGAGTCAGTGAGTTAATTATAGCTGGGCTAATACCCTGACTTTCTCACTGAGATAGAATGAGTTAAACAGGCCTGGGATCTTGTGATCCTAAACAAATCTGCTCAGCTGTACTGTGATAAGGTACACAAATTTGCTTACATATTTAATGTCCTTTTGCAAATTTATTTTAACAAAACAGAAACCCTCTATGTAAATTTGGAATGCTTACTTAGGGGAAATCAAGGGAAAAGCTGATGAGTTTACTAGTTTTCTTCGCTTTCTCCCTATTTATTGCTTCTTTTTACTCCCTCTGTCTCATTTTTCTTTTCTACCTGCTTAAATGTTATGTTGCCCACTGCATGTTACTGTTTGAAAAACTATTTGAAGAACCTTTCACCATATTTCATCCTATTCCTGAACCTTTGCGTAATTTTACAGCAATAAAAATGAAGAACTGGGAATAAGGCTGAGAGGTTGGGTCATTCTTTGATAGCTTCACTGGTCTCTGAAGCTTGTTCAGTTGAACCCTTTTTAATATGGGTATAGAAAAGTTGACTGGTCCATTGGGGAAAAAAATTTTCAGAACTCACTGGGGATGGCCATAATACTCACAAATTGCATAGCTATATTTGCAGAAAGTAGGAGGAAACTTACTTTGGGAGGTTGATTTAAAAAAAAAAAGAAAAGAAAGAAAGAAAGAGAAAAATGGCATAGGTTTGAAGCATTTGAACATTTTAGGAACTCAGACATTTGAAGTGTATGAGTTGGGCCCAGGAAGTTGGATTAATGAGCATAAGCAAGTGAATCAGTTATAGGTAAGGCTGTGACTCTGTCACTGAGGTCGCGGAAGTCACAGATTCCATGACTGTCGCAGCTGCAATGGCCAGTGTGGCTGATCCCAAGGCCACCAGAGCAGCTGGCCCCAGGTGCCCCATAGCCAGCTGCACCGGACACTGCTCAGGTGGTCCTGGGACAGCTGGCCCCGAGGAGTGCCCGAGCAGCAGTCCTGGGGCCTGCCACACTAACCACTGCTCGGGCAGCCTGGGGAATACCCTGGGGAGCACCCGACCGGTGGTCCTTGGGGCCTTGGAGCAGGGATGGCTGGGGGCAGTCAGTAGTGGTGTCCTGAGGCCCCTCAGAGCAATGTTGTCCGGGGCGCCAGGAACTGCTAAGTTTTAGTCATGGTATTCATATAGTAAAAGTCATGGACAGGTCACCAGCTGTGAATTTTTGTTTATTACCTGTGACCTGTCCATGGCTTTTACTAAAAATACCCGTGACTAAATCTTAGCCTTAGTTATAGGTGCATGAAAAATTAACTTGTTACATGGGTCTTCAATTTATCACATAGATATCACCTTATGGTGTGTGTATGTGTCTGTCTCTTTAGCAATATTTATATAATACAGCTTTTTGGTTTTATGTATACATAGTTTTAACTTTTTGTATAGTTCGAGCAGTTGCAATTTGCAGATAGCAGTAATTGGATATAGATGAATAGAGTATTTTTATTAGCTCCAGATATTGAATTGAAATTAGAAACTATATTATCCTCTGCCTTTTTGAAGCTCTGACTTTTACTGTAAATAAAGCTGCATTGCTGGCTTAATGTCTTGGTAATTCTTGTAAAGCACACAAAATGCTAAGTAGATTTTTAACAAGTTGTCTTGTATTTTTAGATAACCGAGGATCCAAAGAAGAGAATGTTAGTATTGAATCATCACTTTGTGAGGCACCCAGCAAAGTTCTTTGAGGAAGGTCCTGAAACACTTACTGAACTTAAAGGTATGCAAGTCTAATTCTTTGACCAGGATCTGAGGATACATTTTGTCTAAGAGTTAATCTTCTCACTACCGAATTGCTGAAGCGCAGACTCTTTCTTTAGGCAGCACTCAAACACCATTTGGAATGCATGGCAACAAACTATGGTCTTGATTCTTGTTTCTAGCTGCACTAGGCTTGGTTGAGGACCATAATGGGGCAAAGAAATGCCACTTTTGCATTCTCCAGATTCTGGGGAGTAGCCAGGAAACAAAAGTTGTTCCAGTTTAAGCCTGGCTGACCGATCTCCAGCAACCACAGGAGTAGCTGGAGTTCAGATGTTCTGACTATAGCCTTTCCCATGTCCATACCCTATCCTGGTGGGGGGTTGGTATGTATGTACTGTAAAGCCACTATGCTAATTATGGATGCTTGGGGAATTCCTAGGTGCCCAGATGTGCAGATTCAATGGCTCCTTTCCCTTGACAGAGCTGGGCAAGGAGACCCAATCTATAATGAAGAATTGGCTCCTCTCTGGGGTTGGAGAATCTGCAGAATTCCTTATTTGACTTTCTCTGGCTTCTAGGAAGTTAACAAGGAGGAGCCATGGCTGTAGAGCCCAGGAGTAACTACCAAGGCTTAATTTTGTTGAAATAGGCTAGGAGGAGGTGAATCATATCTTTGCATTTCTTTAGTTTACAATATAACGGACATCATTTTATAGATTAGGTTTTCATTAATCATTTAGTCAGATATTCCCCCTCCCCCCACTTCAATAGCAATTTGGAGTATATTTATGTGCAATTTTTTTCAATTGCATTTTCCTCTCTCCTCATTCCCTTTTGACACTTGCCTAAATTTATCCATGCTGTAATGCCATTAAGTTCAAAGGAGTTACAAGAAGGGTGAATTTGAGCATGTGCTATTACTCCTCCCCCTTCCTCCTTCCTTTCTGCTCATACTTTCTTCGTGTAGTCAGTCTTCTGCTCCTAATTCTGATGCCTGAATTTGGGCTTTTTATGTTCCTTTCCTGTGAGACTGAAAGTGTGGTAAGGGCAAAGAAAGTATGCTGTGCTGCTGTATTTTCAGCACTCTCTCTTGTCTGTATTCAGCCCCCATACTGACATTGATGCCCACCAGATGCTAATGCTATTTTTCTTTGAGACCTTTTATTTTAGCACGTATTGATAAATTTTGCAAGTAATAATAGCATCCCTTGGTTTGGCGTGCTGTATAGATAGTTGATTTTAACTATTGTATGCAATTCTGAATAGCAGTCGTGACTATTGCATTACATATTTTAATGTTCCTATGTCTAACTTCTGGAGATATGAACAATAAGTTGATAAAATGTGCTTGATAAAGTAGAATGTTTGTGTTTTGTGAAGTTCTGCTGAAGATTACTATTATATGTCATAGGCAATTCCTGCAGTAACATACAACTAGAATTAAGGTTTTCCTATCACACGCAAGTGAGCAAAATAAAGCATATGGTTTACTTCTAGGAACTTTGATTTGGATTAAAATCAAATCCTCAAAATGGACCTATACAGTTTATAATGTAAGTAGCATTAATATCTTTTTCTAATTTCAATTTTGTCATTTCTGTGTTTTTTTCTAATAAGCAATATTTTTTCTTTTAAGGAATCTGATGGAAAATATTTCATGTTTCCTCTTTCAAACCACAGAAAAACCTACAGTCATGTCCACTGTCAAAACAGTATGTTGGTGAGAAAATATGTGCTTTCTGTATTTTTGTAAATATATCTGTTGTTACCCAATTTTAACTTTATGAAACTGAATTGTTGTTTCCATTTAAACAGCTGTATTGAGCTAACTACTCCAGTAATTATTAAACAGAGACCGCTTTTTTACTGTAATCCCAACGTATTATTACTTGTTTAGGGGCACATGCCTTTTAGTATTTGTTATGTTTAGTGTGTTCATTATCATAGTATCTGAGTACTGCACATATATATACACTAAGGCCTTGTCTTTATGAACAATTAGACTGCGACAAGCTGAGGTGTGAATCTACCCCACACTAGTTTGCTGAGGTCTAACTGTGTGTGTGTGCCCTGCTGACGCATTAAGAGTTTGTTAGGGTACTTTAAGATTTTTATGAACTGTTAACACGTGTCAGCACATGGACAGTTAGACGGTGGCAGGCTAGAGTGCGGTGGATTCACACCTCAGCTTGCTGTGGTCTACCATGTAGACAAGCCCTAAGACTGACTTAGAGTTGCCAATAATAGATTTTGCAGTTCACCACTTCAAACTTCAGTAGCTTTGGGTCTTTAATGTAGCAACGCTCCATCTTATGCCTCATTCAGAAAAGCATGTGCTTAAGTGACCTTCCTGAATAGGGAGGCTATCCCAAAATGGGGCTCTAGTAAGGGCCTTATCTAGAGCAATATAAATGAACCGGGAGTTAGTAGAGGGTATGGAGCTCCACCAGTTAATGTGTTCTCAGCTGTTTTTCCTGTTGAGGAGATGGGCTACTGTGTGCTATACAACTGGAGTTTGTGTTTCTTCCACTTTTCAGCCTCAAACATGATGATTTGCAGTAGTTTCACCTCAAGGCAAAGATATGGATCACTTTGACTCACCACCTCATTTGAAAAGGAGGAGTGTAGTTTCTTAACTGGAGGTGGAAGAATGCATTTCTCTACATAGGTGTTCGAGATTAGTGAAGAGTCCACTGAGACTCCAAGATTTCATACGAACTTGGTGAATGGAAGGTAGATGCCTTTAGTGGAAGGGAGAGGTCAGTGTCTCGGTTAGCTCCTATAATTGTTCCCCCTTCCCACCAGCATCACTTCAGACTTACCTGAGTTCATTTTGAATAAACTGCCCTTAAATGTCCTCATCTTTTGCATTCATTGTGATGATGTTGAGCGTGCACGTAGAAGAGGGAGGTATAAGGCTGGGTGTCCTCAGTAGAGCTCATTAGGAATTTTGCAACAAAGCAGGTTTTCATCAGGAAATGCCAGTTTGTCACAGAAATGCATCTGGTTTGAACTTCTGACAAAACATACCGGGCTCCAGTGGAACCCTGCCTGGCTTCCTGCTAGCTCAGTTAGTGGGCTTCCAGGGTTCATGGCTTCGGGGCAGCCCAGACATAAAAACTACCCCATGGCTGGAGACCCAAGGGCTTCGAGGCACCCTGCTGCAGAGCCAGGAACCTGGAAGCTGTGGAAACACTGGGAGACCCAGCTTGAGATGTGGTTCTCAAGGCTTCTAGTCCATGGTACCAGGCACCAAAAGCCTTGACTCCCATGCCTAGAGGCTCCTGGCTCAGCCATGGTTCCCAGGTCTTCTAGGCTCCCAGGCCATCTGCGAGCCTTCTGTCCTGGGAGCTGCAGCTGAGCCAGGGGCCTCAAAATTTGGGCTCCCAGACTCAAATTTCATTTAAAAAAATTTTAAACAAAATGTTTTGATTATTTCAATATGATTTTTTTTTTCAGGTGTTCCCTTCTGTGAGAAGTGTTTGGAAATTCCGTTTTGGAACAAAAAGTAGAACACCATTTCCCGCCCCCAGAATATTGGCATTTTCTGCTAAACAGAACTTCTGACTTTTGATTAGCTTTAATCATTAGCAATGTTGTGTCTGATTCTTGCATGAGAATGGAATTTGCTTTATAAGATGTAAAATAACTGAAGTTCTTTAAATCAGACACAACATTGCTTGGTAAGAATATAAATTTTACTTGGGCTGCTTGGGTATTTTGGAACTAATTTTTGATTAGGCTTAATTTTGAACTAACTGAATTTTTGATTAGGCTTAATTTTGAACTAACTGAATTTTTCATCACATTTATAAGGTATATTAATTGCTTACAGGATTTTGACAAAAACAATTGCTGATTGCCAAAAAAATCTATTGTTTGTAGTATAACTACAGTACATCTTCAATAGTTGTTTTTCGTAACAGTCCTTAAACTAGAATTCTTGATTACACGATTATATAAATAATACTTTAGTTTTGTACTGCCCCTGTCATCATCTTCTTGTCTGAGGATCTATAGTCTTCCAAATACTTTACTTTACAATTTGCTTGTGAGGTTGGCGAGGAATATGGAGGGAACACTTTTGCCACCTGTGGAATGCACAGCAGTCAGTTAATAATAATAATACAGTAACTTTACACAACAGTTTGGGACAAGAAATGAAGATCACCACCACATTCTGTTTGAGGGATTTAGGTAGGCACAATATAACTACCCAGATACTGGAATTACCACCCCATCTCTTTAGAAGAGTGCTTTGAGACTTCTGAACACTTCACTTTTGTTTCTTTCATGAGAAATAATAAGTGTTCTAGGCTGCAATATCTTCTGTTCATTTTCATGGTTAGCAAAAACGAAAAAGGCAAATTATTAAACATATTTCTTGTTTAGCCAGAGATTCTCATTCTTGTATTTGAGCTGTTTGTTCTACTTTATCTCATAATCATAATTCTGAGTTTGTGGTATCAAGCATCTTGGCAGCAGACACGATGTCATTAACACTCTACAGAATCAAGAAAAAGAGGTGGTGAATCTTACTGATTACAAATAAATAGCTAAGGAAACAGGAGATGAATCATACTTCATAAGCAACTGCATTTTTGTGTTTTGTTTGAGTGTGTAAAGTTCCTCTTAGGAGCACTTGGTGGTTATAGTGAGGGCCACTATAGAAATGTGTGATAGATAAGGATTGGGAAATGAAGATTGAAGTCTGCTCTTTTTTAATACACCTTGATGTATATAAGTATTGAAGGAGGATTAGAACAGTGGGTGATGTCTGATGAGGTGTCACAGTTAGGCAGGTATAAATTAAGAGTGGATCATCAACACTAACTCTAAACTTTTTTGGAGTGAAGTTCAATATTTTTATATTTAAACTCACACACAAAATTTAAAGTAGTAATGCACATTTTCACATGTTATTGATTTAACAGGGTACAAGTAGCTGGATTTATGGCTGCTTAAACAGTAGTTCATCTGTGTGGTGAGTATAAAGGCTTTTTGTAATTTATTTAACTAGTTACTATAAGATCAGTTTTGGGCATTCAGTCATGCAACACAGAGCAATTTAGGAGGAAGAACTATAGGGATTTAAAAAGGATTGCTGCTGTTAAAATTCATTGTTATCTGGTATAATGTACAATCAGCTTTCTTGATACTTAAATAGATTCAAAGCAATATTAAGTGACCTAGTATTTAAAGAAAAAAGGTAAAACTCAACTTTTATTGCAGTGTAACTTGTTTTGTTCATAACTTGTATGTAATATCACTTTAATACGTCCTCTGTCATGGGACTGTATCCATTGTATGCAAAGGATGGACTGAATGATCTTCTTCTTCCCTAACTACTATTATGAATTTATTGTCACTTGAGGACATTTAGAAATGGATGTGCTTGTTTTAGCAACTTCATTTTAGCAAATTAGATTGTCAGGTTTAATTGATAAATTTTGGAATTTGTAATGAATTAATGCAAATTGAAACCATTTTTAGGGCCAGATTCACTAGCCGTTTTAAATCTGCTTTGTTGAACTCCAACAGCTCAGAGCTGTCTTAAAGCAAATTTACTCTACTGCTTGGGTTGGCATAGGGCCAGTGTAGTAGTCTTCTGCCTCTTTATTCTGGGCCAAAGTAAGGGAGCATGGCAAGGGTGCTTGTATGGCCACTTGGTACCCAGGTGTTATAATTGCCCTGCATTGGATTAGGAACCACAAAGGTGTCTTTTTGTAACCCCTTTGCACACTCTCCGGATCTGTATCAAGCTCAGCCAGTAAAGGGAGTTGGGGCCATTAAGTCTAATTTAACTATAGTATCGTTTTTTTTATTGTGAGTTAAGTCCATATAGTCAAACAGCACCATTTAAAGGGACCTGGAATAGTTTCAAATGTGGTTGTGGATTTTCAATCACTGACCATTTTTAAATCAAGATTGGATTGTCTTATAAAAGATTTTCCCTAGGAATTAGTTTATGGAAGTTTTATGGCCGCATTATGCAGGAGGTCATACTCAATCACAGTGGTGCCTTCTGGCCTTGGAATCTATTAATCTTTTGAGAAATGTCTGGGTTTTTGTTTAAAATATGTGTAGCTGACTGTCAAGGCTAATTCTCCACTCTGGCACTTCAAGTGCAGAAGGTCGGGGCCCACAAGGATTCTAAAAATTAATACTGGCCACTCCAGGCTTGTATTAAACTCCCAAGGTTACAGCTTTTCTCTGACCTTGGATTGGTCAATGCTGTCACTACCTAGTGCAGAACCCCTTTTAGAGCCCAGGAAGCGCATTTGGGAATTCCTTCCGGTGGGGTACCTTTCACTACCATCCCCCTCCACCCACCCCCCCCCCGCTCCAGGGAAGAGCTGGGGGGGGGAGGAAATCAGCCTTTGCCACCAGTTAATTAAACAACATGTGCACAAACCTCTAAGACACAAAAATCCAATTCTGTTCTTAAAAAAGGTAAATTTTATTAATTAAAAAAAAAAGGAAGAAAATACATCTGGAAACTCAGGCTATTGCTAGATTTTAAAAGAACAACTACAAGGATTAAGCACCAAGAATAGCTTTCTTGAGGTCCAGCTTAAAGGTCACAAGCAAAACAAAAGCACCTGGGGTTAGCACAGAGGAATCCACAAGCCATAACGAAATTGAAGGGATAAACCTAACTGAGTCTTCCTAGACATTACATATCTGGGGTTTTAAATGAGTAGTTTCTAGGTATGATACTGATGATTTTTTCATACCTGGCCCAAGCTTTTTACAGCATAGCTCTGCCCTGTCCGCCTCTCCCTGGGAGATCAACAACAGACAGACAAAAGGGGAGTCTTGTTTCAATTTTAAAAAGTTCTAGCCTTCCCATTGGCTCTTTTGGCCAGGTGCCCACTCACTTTCTTTTACCTAAACATAGCAGTGAGACTTTTTAACCCTTTACAGGTAGAGCAATTAGAGAACAGCTCCTAAGAGGGATTTTATAGCTACTGGCTGGCTGGGTATCCATAAAAGAGAGCTTACCTTTCCTCCCCATCATTCATCACACTGACCTAGAGTAAATTCATTAACATATAGGTCCAATATCCACTTTGAACTGCCACCTGAAAGGTTTTCACCAATAGGCAAAGCTGAGGTTGCATATGATACACTTTTATAAATTCCCTTAAGCTGTGAGAACAGTGGATGCTTTTACTTATTGTGCATTGCTTCAGTACAAATGCAGATATCAGTTCATTAAGTGTTTTCATTATGCTTCAAAAAGTTGAGACTAATAACAGCCAGATCTTGTGAATGCAGCGGTATTGATACCTATACGGCTCTGCCAATATGTCTGAAATCAGATTTGCAACATCTTTGCTCTTTGAGTCGTAAATTACTTTAGACTGCTAAATTATAACGTGTGGTATACGAACAATCGTTCAGTTAACTATAGTTAAGGCTTTGTTTTAGTCACGAGTATTTTTAGTAAAAGTCATGGACAGGTCAAGGGCAGTAAACAAAAAATTCACGGCCCGTGACTTGTCCATGACTTTTACTATATACCCCTGACTAAAACTTGGGGAGGGACCCCTTGGAAGGGCAGCCCTGGGGGTGCTGCGGAGAGGGCGCGTCCTGGGGGGATGCCGCGAGTGCTGGGGAGGGGGGTGGGGCATGCTCCCAGCTCCTGGAAAGTGGCAACCCTAGCTCAACGTGCTGCCTCCGCTGTGCCCCAAGCCCTGGTTCTGACGCTCCCATTGGCTCCGAACCTTGGCCAATGGGAGCTGCAGGGGCGGTGCCTGGGGGCGGAGGCAGCATGTGGAGCTAGGAGCTGAGGGGAGGAGTTGCTGTCACCCTTCCGGGGAGTGGCCCCTGCCCTCCTGGTAAGCACTGCCCCGCAGCCCAGCCGTGAGCCCCCACCCTAACTCCTGCTGCTGGTGGGTGGAGTGGGGGGGCCGAGTCTGCCCCAGCAGCAGGAGTTAGGGTGGGGGCTCACGGCTGTGACAGATTGTGACAGGCTGTGACAGAATCCGTGACCTCTGTGACAAACACCGAGCCTTAACTGTAGTAGAAGTAGACCTGTTACCTTGTGCATTTCTATAGAGGTAGAGAGAGGCTGGTACATTAATACACTCTTACTGCTTGCTCCTTTCATAATGAATATGTGCATTTTGTATATTTGCACTTTAAAGTATTTTAACTTTTACAGCCTGGAAGGTTTTGATTTATCCTGGAAAGCTGAGTTACTGCCAACTGTTAAGGTAAATTGTACTATACATTATTTTGTTGCAACAAAATGGAGTGAGCATTTACATGAAGAGGTTTTGTGTGGGGTTATGAATAATGTAATGCATTCACATGTTGTATAGAATTTATATGATTTCTAAGCCATGTTTCCTCTTGGGATATATGCTACTGGGGGAGTGGGAAACTATCTTAATTTTTGAGGGTATATGAAAGTGATGTTTATTCCTACAATAAATTATTCTAAGCTGGAGTTCAGTTTAAAAGTCCATACTGAAGTTTTCAAAAGCAAATATTAAAAACTGTGGCAATTCATTGTTAAGCCTATAGAAAACGTAAAAGAACATTGTAGTTTACTAAACTAAAACTACAGCAATAAAATTGAGTTCAAAAATCATCTTGGGTTTATAATCAAAGGAAACAAATAGACTCTAAATTGTGTTTGTGTTGTTCTAGAATGAGACTTAACTTCTCTGTTACTATTGGCAAAGTCAGTACCTTCTTCTGTCGTTCTACTCTTGGGAGATTTCCCTTCACTCCCTTTCTTATAGCAGAAGGCTTAGCATGTATTTTACATCTTGTAGACTTTGTATAGTTCTCCTCTATGGACAGGCATTTTCCTTCACTTCTAAAGTTGATAGCACAGTTTGCAGCCACATAGATAAAGACAGCAACAGAGTTCAAACAGACTGAATATTGTGTGATACGCAATCGTTAATGAAACTACAATGGTACGTATTCATCATAGCAGGAGAATATTTATCTAAATTAATAATCCATGGGAGTGACAGTACATGAACAGTGGTAGTTAGAGTAATCCATTTCTCAGCTGCTGTCCAAATATATGCAATTTAAGGGTGTATCTCATCATAATTCCTTCAGCACCTACTGTATCTGAAATCTGTAACTAGAAATTCATAATAAAATGTTTTACCTGTAGCTTTTTAATAGGAGCAGGATTGGGCCATATCTAAAGAGTTGTGTACAGTCTTTCAACATTTATATTAAACTTCAGTAGAGTATGTGATGTGGTACACAGTTTAGTTCACGATATTACACAGCACTCTTTTAATGCAGGACACTTACATATGAACTGCTTTTTCCCTTAATTGTAACTGCTAGTATTTGTGAAGCTCACAATGATTACAAGTATTCACATTTAGGTGTGAGATTCTGTGATGTACCTTCAAGAGGCACAGCACAGAACGCAGTGCTGGCGGTGTGTGCTGTGTGATGGTCGCTCTAAGTCTTCTTTTGAGCACTCTCAGTCATCTGTAGGGGATGGAGCAGGCCCTGGCATAATTTAGACAGCCCGGGGAGCCTTTCTCAGTTTCAGCAATCTCCTGAGGCAGCCCCATGGCCTGCATTGCTTCTTGGAATCTCAGTAGCACAGTATGCTCTGGCCCTGCCTGGCATACCCCCTTAATACCAGGGCTTGCAGGTTTCTCCCCTGGCCAGATATGAGGTTTTTAGGGCCCCTTACCCCACATAAAAGAGTCGGAGTAGGAGTGAGGCTCTCGCCTGAGGTTTTTAACTGAACCAAACTATACTTTTATTGTAAATAATTTTTGTTTTCCTATTTTAGGTTGTAACTCTGAAACTTCAGGAATATCCTGCTTTGTCCAATCTTGTAATTTATGTACCAGCTATTAATGGCAATAAGGTAACAAAGATGAGACTTAAAAACGCTTTATTCAGCATCTTTTCAAGATAACTGAATACTATATTTGGTCATTATTGGTTGCAAGGAAAATGTATTAAATATCGAGAGTTGCACTAAATATCTTTTACATAGTTCTGTCCTACAGTATGTGATTCAGAGGTAGATTTTTCAACTAATTTAACATCTAGTCTACTGAAAGTAGCTATAATTCCTAGCATGATGATATTGTAGAGCAGTGATTTTTTTGAACTGCTGCTTGCTTGTGGTTCTAGCTCTCCTCCTCCTGTTCATCTGCTTATTTTTAAGACAGATCAATATACATGAATACTATTCTAGTACTATATTTTCATGTAAGCAGCTGCAGTAGCTGTGACAAGGATGTTTTGTGATTGAGAATGTAAGAGTAGTGGTTTGTATAATCATGAACAAGAAGGGAGATTGTTTCATAGAGAGACTTACAAGAAGTGGAAGGTTACAAGAAGTGGAAGGTTGGACATATGACCAGGGAAGAGTATAAAAATATTGCTCGGGCATGTAGGAATGTTATCAGGAGGGCCAAATCGCACCTGGAGCTGCAGCTAGCCAGAGATGTCAAGAGTAACAAGAAGGGTTTCTTCAGGTATGTTGGCAACAAGAAGAAAGCCAAGGAATGTGTGGGCCCCTTACTGAATGAGGGAGGCAAACTAGTGACAGAGGATGTGGAAAAAGCTAATGTACTCAATGCTTTTTTGCCTCTGTTTTCACTAACAAGGTCAGCTCCCAGACTGCTACGCTGGGCATCACAAAATGGGGAAGAGATGGACAGCCCTCTGTGGAGATAGAGGTGGTTAGGGACTATTTAGAAAAGCTGGACGTGCACAAGTCCATGGGGCCGGACGAGTTGCATCCGAGAGTGCTGAAGGAACTGGCGGCTGTGATTGCAGAGCCATTGGCCATTATCTTTGAAAACTCGTGGCGAACCGGGGAAGTCCCGGATGACTGGAAAAAGGCTAATGTAGTGCCAATCTTTAAAAAAGGGAAGAAGGAGGATCCTGGGAACTACAGGCCAGTCAGCCTCACTTCAGTCCCTGGAAAAATCATGGAGCAGGTCCTCAAAGAATCAATCCTGAAGCACTTGCATGAGAGGAAAGTGATCAGGAACAGCCAGCATGGATTCACCAAGGGAAGGTCATGCCTGACTAATCTAATCGCCTTCTATGATGAGATTACTGGTTCTGTAGATGAAGGGAAAGCAGTGGATGTATTGTTTCTTGATTTTAGCAAAGCTTTTGACACGGTCTCCCACAGTATTCTTGTCAGCAAGTTAAGGAAGTATGGGCTGGATGAATGCACTACAAGGTGGGTAGAAAGCTGGCTAGATTGTCGGGCTCAACGGGTAGTGATCAATGGCTCCATGTCTAGTTGGCAGCCGGTATCAAGTGGAGTGCCCCAAGGGTCAGTCCTGGGGCCGGTTTTGTTCAATATCTTCATAAATGATCTGGAGGATGGTGTGGATTGCACTCTCAGCAAATTTGCGGATGATACTAAACTGGGAGGAGTGGTAGATACGCTGGAGGGGAGGGATAGGATACAGAAGGACCTAGACAAATTGGAGGATTGGGCCAAAAGAAATCTGATGAGGTTCAATAAGGATAAGTGCAGGGTCCTGCACTTAGGACGGAAGAACCCAATGCACAGCTACAGACTAGGGACTGAATGGCTAGGCAGCAGTTCTGCGGAAAAGGACCTAGGGATGACAGTGGACGAGAAGCTGGATATGAGTCAGCAGTGTGCCCTTGTTGCCAAGAAGGCCAATGGCATTTTGGGATGTATAAGTAGGGGCATAGCGAGCAGATCGAGGGACGTGATCGTTCCCCTCTATTCGACATTGGTGAGGCCTCATCTGGAGTACTGTGTCCAGTTTTGGGCCCCACACTTCAAGAAGGATGTGGATAAATTGGAGAGAGTCCAGCGAAGGGCAACAAAAATGATTAGGGGTCTGGAACACATGAGTTATGAGGAGAGGCTGAGGGAGCTGGGATTGTTTAGCCTGCAGAAGAGAAGAATGAGGGGGGATTTGATAGCTGCTTTCAACTACCTGAAAGGGGGTTCCAAAGAGGATGGCTCTAGACTGTTCTCAATGGTATCAGATGACAGAACGAGGAGTAATGGTCTCAAGCTGCAGTGGGGGAGGTTTAGATTGGATATTAGGAAAAACTTTTTCACTAAGAGGGTGGTGAAACACTGGAATGCGTTACCTAGGGAGGTGGTAGAATCTCCTTCCTTAGAGGTTTTTAAGGTCAGGCTTGACAAAGCCCTGGCTGGGATGATTTAACTGGGAATTGGTCCTGCTTCGAGCAGGGGGTTGGACTAGATGACCTTCTGGGGTCCCTTCCAACCCTGATATTCTATGATTCTATGAGACCATCTTTCTTTTAACTTATAGCTTGAAAACAGCTTGAAAACCACTTTTATAAAGGAAAGTGAGAAATACTGGTTTTCAGGTGAGGTGAGAGAATAGTTTTAAATGAACTAAATGTATTTTATAGATTGTGCACCAGATTCTCAGCTCAGCTCAGTCCATTTGTGCTGCTCCAGGAGCATAAAGGATAGCTAAAGCTGACATAATTGGCCAGCTAAATATTCTTCTTGTGTGTGGGAATCCTTGAGGGGCACAGCCAGCCATGTATAACTCTCTTGTGCCCCGAGTAGGAGGCACTGACTTAGAGATACAAGCGCTTTGGCCATGCTGCAACACATTGCAGCTGGGTGAAAATCAGATCAAGCTAGTCTAAAGCTGTTCTGGCTTGTGCTAGTGGCTGAACCAATGGCTGGCCAGCCACTGTAAGTGAACCATGGAAACATGACTTGCAGCAACCTTCGAACGTTGTCATCTGCCTGGGGTTCTGAAGAGAGTATGGCCAGACTTAATGCTCTAGCTTTATGTTCATTTCCGATCTATGCTATGCAATAAAATAATATGTCTATGTTGCAGTTTACTTTGGACTGTGAATTCTTTAAAGAGGATTCCCGAACAGTACAACTTCCTGTAACACATCTTTTTTCTTTTGGTAGGTATAATGCACTGCTCTTGCAAAACTTGAAAACTGCATTTGTTGGCATATTTTGAGTAATAAATCTGGCCTTAAAATAACTCCAAAGATCAATCTTTTAGTAAGTTTAAAGATAATTTCCTATTAAGCAAGCCTTATTTCACCCTCTTACTATTAGGAATTTCATAAATACTTTATATGTACACCTGATATACAATATCTCAACTTCCAAGAAAAACCTTAGATGTAGTGAACTTTTCAAGCAAATCAGTCTCTAGTCCTTTACTTTTCTAGATTTACTAATTGGAAATAATATAGGGTTGTCATTTCTACAGGGCTTTCTTCAAGCAAAATTGTATTCAGTTCAGCTGGTCTAATTTACAATGTACAGCTCCAACACTTTTGCCAGGTAAAAATACTGAATTAAACAAAATTGATATTAACTAACTAGTTCCTTTGGAAATGCAAGTGAATAAATGTTTCTTGGGTTTGTTTGTTTTGTTTTGTTTTCAGATATACCAAGCTTTTAATATCTACATTGAGAGCCACTGCAACCCACACAAAGGTAAATTTAATGTTTTCCTGAAGTGCACATGAATGGTTGCAGTAAAATGTACAATAGAAAAAAAGCTGTCAAAAATATATCTGCCTCCCAGCTCTCTCATGTTCCATACTGTAATGTGATTGCTATCAAGTTCTTAACTTTTTATGTAATTTTTTTGCTGTGAAAGTTGCCAGACTGAGAGCTCTGGAGACTGAAATCCTCTGTTCTATCCAACGAACAGATAAAATATTGGCAGTGTCTGTACAAGCTTCCCAACCCTGCCAGTGTGCTTCACCTCTCTTTCTAGAAAGACCATTTGTAAAGGTGAGGGAGTAGTCTGGTCTCCTTAATCATTCCATCCTCGGTGTCTCTGCAAAGAGAGATGCCGCTTATATTAGTCGGCTTTTGTTAGGTTGACACTGTCTGTGAGGATCTGGACTATGAGTTCTAAAGTCCTTGTGTGGCAAGGGCTTTCAATTGCTATTGACTGGAGTAAAATCTGAATTGTTGACTTAGGGATGAGACGCTCTGTGGCTTATTACTGCTTTCCTGAACTATTTAGACCCTTCAGTATAGAAGATTTTTATGGCTTTTAAAAATGAACCCAAATCATCTTTGCGCAGGTCTTGATCTGTTTACACACTTCTTTTAAACAAAAACTGGACAAAATCCTGTTGTGAATACATGTTTCAAATAAAAAATCTATAATCTATATCACTGTGTATATGGGAGAGTGGATCTAAATAAAAATAATTAGCAAGGATTTATCTAGGTTTCTGAAGGAACCATGCACCATGGAAGATCTTGCCAGGACTAGAGACCGGGCCCTATCATATGCCCGACTCTGGAAAAACCTATGGCTGTGGAAAGGACACACAAAGAAGATCTAGGCACAGCGGGGTACCTGTTAAGCTTTCCTACTCTGCTTATTGGAGGATAGTTGACACATTTCACTCTTAACGGTCATATATATATATTAATCTATTTATCTTTCACACGTGCACACACACACGCGCGTGCACTATTCCAAACTATACTGTCAACCAAATATGAATTCTCAATATATTATTATATGGCTTTCAATTTAGATTTCTTTCCAAACAGTTTGATATACAGTGGAGTTGCATCTTACGTGGGAATTAGGTTCTAAAGTCAGCGCGTAAGGTGAAAATCACGTATAGTCAAAATTACCCTTGAAAATCCCTTAAATCACCTATAAAGTACAGTATACTGTACATGGTTTTGTGTATACAACCCTGTACAGTAATATGTATACTGTATACAGTAATGTACAATAAATAATAGAGTACATATGCCAAATATAATTTTACAGTACTGTATTTTTAATTACAGGGGGTAATTTATATGTACACCTGATATACAATATCTCAACTTCCAAGAAAAACCTTACAGGGGGTCGTCAGGGCTTTATGTTGATCCAGGAGATGGAGGTGACAGAGAGCTTGGGTGACGGAGAGCGAGTCGTAGATGAAGTGGTTGGCTCTGGTTCAGCTCGAGAAGTTGATTGCGTAGGCTCATCTGCTGCTGGTTTTTTTCCTTGAAAAACATGGTGATCGGCAACTGTTGCTGTTGTCTCTTGAGCTGCTCAAACATTTCTTGATACGGTCTCGAATCATCCATAATACTATGTGTGATTTTGAGGCTTCGTTTCATAGAGGGATTGTATTCAGAAATTAAATCTTCAAGTGTTTCGCTGCTTGGAACACTTCAGCAAATTTATGAGGATTCCAACTTGCTGGCTCTTCCTGTTCATGGTGGTCGTCATCATCTTTGTCTTCTGTAGACGATTTTATCAGTTCCTCTAACTCTTCGTTAGTCAATGTTTCTCTGTGGCTCTCAATTAATTCTTCATTTTCTTCCTCAAGGATGTTGACGAAGCCATCACCACCCACTTGCCTGGCCACCTGAACAATGAGTTTCACTTCTTTGTCAATGGTCGGAAAACCCTTAAAATCATTCACACATTCTTTCCATAGGTTTCGCCAACATGCATTGACTGTTTCAGGCTTGATTGCATCCATTGCCTGTTTAATATAAGTGATGCAATCGGAGATGTTGAAGCATTTCCAGCGCTCCATCACATTAAGATTGGGATCAGCATCCATAGCGCTACATATCCGTGAGAATGTAAGCCTCATGTACGTGGCCTTGAAACAGTGAATCTTGGTTGAGAGGTTGGAGGATGGAGGTGGTATTGGGGGGGAGAAAGACGACTTCAATGTCTTTATGCGGAAACCGGAGTGCGCAGGGTGGCCAGGAGCATTGTCTCTGATCAGCAACACTTTAAAGTCAAGTCCTTTCTCTTCGAGGTACCGCTTGACCTACGGAATGAAACACTTGGGGAACCAATCCAGAAATAACGCTGCTGTCACCCAAGCCTTTTTATTTGATTGCCAGAACACAGGCAGGAGATTTTTGTTCTTGCCTTTTAGGGCATGGGGATTTGCAGCTCTGTAGAGCAAGCCCGGCTTTATTAAATGCCCAGCCGCATTGCCACAAAACAACACAGTCACACGGGTCTTTAGCTGCTTTGAAGCCAGGGGCTTGTCTTTCTGATTTAGAAATGTAAGTGCAGTTGGGCATTTTTTTCCAGAAGAGCCCAGTCTCATCAGCATTAAAAACTTGTTCCGGAAGATAGCCCTTTTCTTCTATGATTTTCTTTAATTGTTCGGGGTAGGCTTTTGCTGCCTCTTCATTGGCAGATGCAGCTTTACCAGTAGTCTGCACGTTTTTGAGGTTGAAGCGGTTCCTAAAACTGTTAAGCCAACCTTGGCTGGCTTTGAATTCCTTCTCACCAGAAGGCTGTTCCTCTTCGGCGGGAGGTTTGAACAGTGCATAGAGACTAAGAGTCTTTTCTCACAACGTGTTGCCATCAATAGGCACGCATTTACGGTTCATGTCTTCCAGCCATAAGTTTAATGCCTTTTCAGCGTTCATTAAAGTCTTATCATGCACCTGGCTCATCACCATAGCAGTTATTGGAGCGCTTGATGCCATGGCTTGACGAATTTCTCTTTCTCGAATCTTGATGGCACAGATGCTAGATTGGTTGCGGCCATATTTACGCGCCACATTGGAGACCGACATACCATCTCTCAAAAAGTCCAACACAGCCAGTTTTTCCTCCAACGTTGCAACAGATGGCTGTTTCTTTGGTTGAGCGCCAGATGAAGTAGTTGGCTTGCGTTTAGGGGCCATGTTGTATGAAAAATATGTATCTTTAAACACGAATCACACTCAGTGCAGCAAGATGCTCACACTGTGAGAGGCATGCAGGAACTAAGACCAACTGAGGGAACAGCAGATTCATGTCTCCCATCTCATGCTCACTCTGAGGCATACGCTCATTGAGTGGAATGGTGGGTGGAATTGCCCGCACTATTTACAGGTATCTTGTTGGGTTTTTTTTTTGCCATGCGCATATAGTTGAATTTGCGTAAGTTAAATGTGCGTATGATGCGACTCACCTGTAGTCTATATTCTCCATTTAATCTTGTTTTTCAAAGTATCAGTAGTGAGTTTTAAAAGTGCAAATTGTAACAGTTGTTGCAGATATTTGAAATGTAGAAATAATCCAATAGTCATGTTATCCATTGCGTTGACCTGTGAATGAACTACAGTAATTTTAATCTCATACAATAATGTTTCATAATTCATTTTTACTTTGATTCCTTTCTAGGAAGGAAAACGAGTGTTTACAGACTCCATGTACCATGGTCACATGAAGACTCAATAACTGTCTCTAAGTAAGGTGTTTTGAGATTCTATTTTTTCTTGCTATCTTTCAAAGTAGAGTTTACATTCCAGACACGGTAAAAGAGTAATCGTTCTGGAATTAGATTTCTCTCTGTCTGAGACGTTTGGGCTGCCTCTCTCTTCCTCTAAATACCAGAGATAGTTCAGACCTGTCCGTGAGATTCAGGGGTTTGGCTGCAGCTCTTGCGTCAGATTCCCTAAGTCCACCAATGAAGACAGATGAGTAGTTCAGCACTCTCCCTTTATACATCGCAAATTTTTGCTTGTAAAGCTGACTTAGGGGGAGCAACAAGCAAAATCTTTACTCCTCTCCCTTAAGGGACCAACGTTTCCAGTGCTGTTATTTCTCTGTATGTGCTCCGTCCTCTCCCATCAGTGTAGACAGGACCTGCAGCAATCTGAAGTTCAAGAGATGCTATATCTGTGCAGGAAGACATCCCAGAAGCCGTAGAAGGGATGCTGACCTTCACTTTGCAGGGGTGGGGACTTGGGAGTCTGGACAGCTTGTTATGGTGTATCTGGATTTCTGCTCTCTCACGCTCTCTCTCTCTTTGTCCTCTGGCATTGATCAGTTAGTCCTCTTCAGCCCTTGGGACTCAGCAAACTGGACCCTCCTCACTGATTGACAGCTCTTCAGTAGTAAATCTAAAATGTCCCACAGTCTTGGTTCTGAACCACTTCTAAAGGGAAAAGTTTCAAGGTTCAATTGCATGTGCTTTAAGTGGATAATTGAGTCATTTGGCATCTTACCAAATGACACAATTATCCACTTAAAGCACATGTAGTTCTCCTGCATATGCAATTTCATTCTCTCCTTCTGCCTAAGAGGAAGATCTGGGCTCTCTTGGACATTCTTCTCATTCCTTTCCAACTGTATTTCAGAGGATGAGGAGTGAGTACCAGGGCTCAGAACTCTGAGATAAAGCCTAAAACAGAACACCAGACAAGGAGGAGACTCATTTCCTAAAAATGAGCGCTGTCACAAATCCTCCAGAAGGAAAATCTGAACTAAAACGGTCAATACCCAGAGAGGAAAAAAGCCAGAAGAAAATTCAGTTCTTCATTTTCCACGATAACCCTGAGCCATAGAAACTTGAAAGGTTCCTTTCCCCTCCAAGATACTCTTTTAGTCCATGGAGATGAATGTGGTGAAGAGGAAGACCAAGCTTTAAGCCAGGGCAAATATCTTTCTAGGGTGTGAGGGCAAGCCACGTGAAGGGGAGAGCAGATGGACAACATAGAATTGTCCCTGACCCAAGTAGTATTTCAGCTGAAATCCTGGGAGCTAGGCCTCTTGTTTCCATAAAGTTTGCTTCTTGGTTGTGGTCATGTTGGCAAGAAGAGTCTCAGAAATTTTGTTCTTGAAGGGCACAAGCCTTACTGCATTTTCCTTAAGGACAAATGAGGGTGGGGGTTGAGTGTCTGAGTCATTCCTTCCGTATCATGGGAATTCATTCTTCCTTCATTTTTACCTGAAGCCTTAGGGCCCTAAAGGAGCAGCGTGGCACACAGTAGATATGTGAAGCTCTGTTTAAAATATACGTGAGTAGAACTGATCAGTTCTGGAAAATGTCATTGGTGTTCTTTTACCACCAGCCTACATACCTGGTCTTGGAGGAATCCAAATTCTCCATAACTAAGTGGATCAAGTGCTGTATCATAGCATAACAGAAGCCAGAAGGGATGAGAGCCCACAGAAAATGTGCCATGGGGTGGCATCCTGAATAGAAAAGATGACAGCCATCACAAAGGAAATCTTTAAGCAGCTATCTGGTCAACACCCTTTAAAGCACTACACAGAAGCACCCTTTGGAAGTATGCTTCTAGCAGTGCTTCCAAATTAGATTAATATTACTCATTTTTAGAAATAGAAAAAACTTTTCCCCCCTGTATTTCTCCCTATTAACTATTCCTTTAGGTATCTTTCTGATGGCTTCTTCAGGGCCCATGTATGTAGTTAACACAACTGAATAAGATATTTCTGTTAGATTATATTTACTCTAGTAAAAAGAATTTAGGTCTAGAGATTCTTTGCTGCGTCAAAGTTCTACTTGGTGTAATCGGGGACAGGCATCAGAGTTGATTATGACCTGGGAGGTTCTTTAACCTATGCTAGCTGCCAACTGGGGTGTAGCATGCACCTCTGTACCCTGACAGACTCCATGTCCCATGGCTATGTGGAGGAGGTTGCATAGAAGCTTGTTACCCGGGCTGTCGGTCCCTGGGGGCTCCTCCATGCCACAGGAATTCTCAACAGGGAAAAAAAGGGCCACGTTCCCTCTTTGTGCTGCTAGAGGTGAACAAAAGGGACAGAGCGGGGCAAGCATCTACGTCTAGTGTATCCAGGGAGGTTTGGAAGTACATAGGGGGTAATAGCAGAAAAGACATGAACAAGTTTGAACTGCCTCCAGTATTTGCAGGAGGAGAAGTGCAGCCAATTATTTCAGACTGGGGAAGTCAGTCCCTGAACATCAGGTGTAAGAGTCCATTTATTTATCTGACATGCACAATGGTAATGCTTATGGTGCTTTGAAGAAATATTCTTTCATTGATTCTTTCATTCTTACATATAAAACAAGCTCCAAAATTCATACTGTATTTAATGGTTAGCAATAACCTAATGACAATTATACTCTTAGGCAAGTACATTTTTAAAATAGTATCTACAATTTATTCTAATGGCTCTCATAAATAACCAGCTGCTCTGGCCAACATCAAGAGCTTGTTGGGTTTGAGGTTAGAACATAAAATGGGTTTGAAATAGGATTAATTGTAATACATTGCAGGTTACAGTTAGATTTAATGTTTTGAAAATAGTCTTCCCTGTTCATTTCAGAGCTCTGAAGATTCTCATTTTCCCTTTTTTCCCCACATATTCATCCTCCTCAGCTCTTGAAGGCTCAAGCCCCAATCAACAGTTTACTTGCTGAGGTCAGGATTGAATTTTTTGAGTCAAACTGAGCCCATCACTTACGTAGCTCGCTTAGGAGTGTTCTGAGGCCTCCTCCCCTAGGGGATTGAGCTTGAAGTCTTCCTTTAATACCCTGGCCCATGACAGCTCAGAGAAAAAGAGACTTGGATTGATGTTCTTCATGATCGTATAAATACTCACCACTATGCCATCAGGCTGGTCTTTGCTGTGATGCTTTTCTATGTTGCTAGTGTTTTGCAGCCACTTGTATTGAACACGCTAAAATATTTCTGTATCTTTTGATTATAACTGGAGCATTTACTAATCGTTGTCATTTCAGAGTTCCATCTTTTACTGAGATTTCTGCAAAACTGCACATTGCACAACCTGAAAATGACAGCACTGTTGCAGTATTAAATATTTATTCATCTGTAGATTGTCAATATGAAGTAAGTAACAGGATTTATTTTCTTTAGCATATATAATTCGTCTCTCTTATCTGCACATTTTGAGGAATTAACAATTAATGTTATTTTCTTCCTCATCAAATCTAAAGGTGTTTAATATTCTCCATCACTTTTTATTTACGTAGTGCAGTTAAAAGTAGTTTGGAGCAGGTGAAGGGCTATTGAAAGCTGGGCTGATGTCTTCAAACAAATAAAACCCTTTAAAATATTACTTGAGCTTTCCCTGGGTGAGGGTGATATGATGTACATTTCAGCTATCGATCTGCTGCTGATACAGAGGATTTCTTTTTCTTTCAGAAAGCCAAAATGTGAAATATAGTGTTAATTTTCTATTTTTTGTGCTTAGCATTATTCAAAAGGTTCATCAGTTGACAGTAATGTACAACAAAATATTAAAGTTCTTTTTAATGTGTGTGTTCAATTAGGTCACCATCAAGACCTCATTCTCACAAGTTCTTGGGCAAGTAAGGAAACCCTTTTAATGTTTAATTTTGTTTTGTGTATCACTAGAGTAAGTCTGTGGTTAGCCCTCTTGGTTAATGCCAAACATAAATGAAAACACATGTGACATTCTTGAGTACTGTGTCTTGATTGAAGAAAGTCTTTCCTGTATCTGAGAAAATTTATGTGGACTATAAAAGCAATATTTCAAAAGAGTGATGTGTGGAACCCGAAGTTCTGCCAAAAATAGTGTTTGGGTATTTTTTTTCTTTTAAATGTGTATATGCTATTTTAAAAAGAGCTGTTTTGCTATGCCCTTCTTGGATTTTGTCAAGATAGAGTGTGCGTGTGACTGTAAGATACCATCCAATGTTAGATTAAAGTACTTTTACTCTGCAAGACGACATACCAGGATAGATGTTGCCCTAAATTTTTAAAGAATTATAAAAAGTATTCTAGCTTTCCTCAGATCTGTGTAGATTTTTTTTTTTTGTATGGATGGGTTCTAACATATTTTACACTGATTCTGTCATGGCAAGTTGTACTAAAAACGAACACTTTAAATTTTTAATAATAGTTAATGGTTAATAATAGAATTGGTAATTTGATTAGCTGTGACTACAAGGTTTTTCAACAAGCTAAATTGAACCAGTTAGCGTGCAGTATATAAACTGTTCATATATCAGTAAGAACTGTGACATGTTACACTTAACACACTTTTTACTATTAACAATGTGTTTTTAGCACTAGCTTGGGTCATTTTCCTTCTTCCTCCATCCCACTTAACACCCAGCTTTATAACATTAGTAGGCAAAGATACAACAAATGATAAACATTAAGGGCTTGTCTCTACTGCATTGCCAGCTTGAGCTATAACTCAAGTTTTTCTCTCACTCCCTGACTCCCATTTATGCACAAAAATCTTTAGGTGAAGTTAAGTGGTGTTTTAAACTTGAGCTAGTTAACATCAGAATCTTGTCTATGCTAAAGTTCCCACTGTTAGACTTCAAATGGTGATAGCGACTGTGGGAGACTTTATAAGGAAGAGGCTAATGTAGATGAGGTTAAAATGTAGACTAGCAGCCAAACCTTTCTGAAGCTTCCAGAGATGTTTGTACTTGAGTCAGGCACAATGCCTCCAGGAGCACCTGTTAGGACAGTGCACCTGTGCAGGACCCAGCGATGGGCTATGTCTTAATAGCATAACGGAGCACTGAACAAGAAAAATCTTGCACTACAGATCACTGGCACTTGCTAATGATGGACTTCCCATGTAAGCAGAAATTCCTCAGCTCCAAGTGAGGGGTAAGACTCAATTGTGCCAGTCCTCGATCACATATTTAGACTTATACCTCTGAAAAGGGTGCTGCTGTGGGTGTTGTTCACCTTGCCTCCAGGTATTTATTTTGTTCCATTTCAGACATGGAAATGTTGCTTGGTGGTGAACATAGCTTATTCTAATGGCAAAAAATCCTCTAATTAGAGTCGTCATCTGTTTCTTTGGCAGACTTTACAGTACAGGAAGGATGCATTTCCATGCTAGAATCAGTAGAAATAGACAGGCCATCTGAAGCTTCATAGTACCAAAGTACTGGTAACTAGGAATGCTGTTCGCAAGCATCTCCGAAATGTATACATCAGTCTAAAATATTTCCACTTTTCTAGCCTCCCAGAAGGCGTCTCTATGTTACAGTGTACATTTAAAAAAATTATTAGCTTGCATTTTATGACATCAATTACACAGATTTGGCAAAATAAAACAGATTTGTGTCATGAAATACTGGTTTATTGAATAGTTAAATGGTGTCTGTGAGTTAGACTCTCCTGTTATCCTAGTTTTTTACTAAATTCTGATTCTGTTAATGAAAAAGGAATAAAATGTTCACTAAACAGTCAGAACTGTCAGTTTTGCTCACAGTTGTTTCCTCTCTGTCACTTGTTATGAGTATTTTTACGTTTCTATACCAATTCTAACTAATCTAAAACTGTGATTTGAAAAGCTCTTTGGCTACAAACTTACTGGCATTGCAGACAAGTGATTATCTCAAACTGATTTCTAAGTTTTGTTGTTAAATATATTGGATTTCATGAGTGAAACATGATTCAGATGCAACGTTATTCCTTCCACACTTATCCTGACTGCAAAATCAGAAACACATGTTATTTGGTATTTTATTTCTAAAACCAAACACAATCAGGTGGCAATTCAGGAGTATGGTTCGTGGATATTTATCAAGTATAACTTTTATTGCTAATGGGAGTTACTGATGCATACACATCAAGGGGAGAGCAGAACCTGAACCTCATGAAAACAGTTTCACTCTTGTTCCATGAGGTAACTCACGTTAATCTTTTAATCCTTTTTGGCGTGCTCAAGTTAACTGTATAACATCCTTGTTCTCTAGGTAATAAGGTTTCATGGTGGTTCCCTTCCTGTGTATGTTATTTCTAATATGCTTCTTGCATATGGAGGACAGTTAAGCGCCTTAATTTCAACAGGTAACATTGTGTAAAAAGATTGGTTAGCCACACTTTTTTTTTTTTTTTGGTATAGTAATCATATTTTCATACATTATGAATTTAGAAACCACCATATTAATATTCTCCTCATAGAGAAACATCACTGTAGTTTTTCTTGTGGTTTACGATCATATTAATCTTCTTTTAAGAGTTGGGCCATGATATCAAACAAACAAAAAGGAGCACAGTGTTTTTCCCCATTAGTGTCCTCCTCTAGCGACATTCTGCCCGTGTCAGAAGTTTAAGAAAAAAAAATAGTTATGGGGTAGAACTTATTTTGAAAGAATTAAAAATAAACTGAAATGTGTGCAGGAAACTGGTAATCTCTTGTCACTAAAAGCATATTTATTCAAGATCAAGTGATGTTCGTATCTCTTAAAAACTTTTTTATCGTGTCTGTCTATCTAAAACTGTTGTCCCAGGCCATCTGTTTCTGAGCAATCAACTGATTGATAAGGATTTTGAACAAGAGCCTTGCTATTGTACAGTAATAGTCTTAGTATGTTATCATTCTTATTTTCATTTTTGAAGCTTTGTGTTTAATTTCACTTTCTGGTTTTGAGCTTTTGTTTAGAACCTTGTGGCAAGGTATGAATTGTGTCTTTATCATTTTTTTTCTAGGCCAATGTTCAGATTTTGTTCTTGCACTGGCTAGAGCAGCCAAACCCTACAAAGTGGACCCTATTGTGAATGTTGTTAAATTTCTATTGGGGTAGGTTATTTTCTGTTACTTGTTTTAATTTTGTGTAGCAGTTTCCAAAGTGTAGAAGTTTTATTTATACATTTTTTTAAAAAACAAAGTAGTATTCTTTTATTTTCTTTGTGATCCTTTGCCATGTGATATTGATCTGATTAAAAGGTTGTAGAGTCAGGAATAATTATGTGTATTTTGTTGAAACAGTGACCAGAAAAGACAACTAATATTTCTTTCATATTTTGGCAGGTTTAACTGGTTTAAAGATATATGGAATGTATTGTTTTTGCCAGAGTTGGATGCTGTTTTACTGAATAAGCGGGATATGTGGGACCCCCTTGTGTCCCTGATTCTATTTCTTTTTGGGACAGGAATTGCCTACTGGGGTGGCATACTCTTCTCTTCATCTCTAAGGCTCTTTTCTTCATTGTGGTTATCTTTGACAAGGTAAAACAGCATAATACTTATCTTTCTTTCGATGACTGTAACGATAATAAGTAAATCAGAGAAACCTAACAGTTGTAAGATTGGGAATACTTGGGTGGATGAGATCCTACAATACAGTTACAATAAACTCCTTTTTATTGATCATCAGGATTTGCCAACACCAAATACAAGCAATATAAAGCAATATAAAGGGCCGGATTGTGGCCTGTAGTACACCCCCAGGTAATGGAACATTAAGGTGCCCTCTTTCTTGCGCTGGCTACCTATATTGCCTTTTTGATTTGTGTCAAGGTTCCTCCCCCACTCTGAACTCTAGGGTACAGATGTGGGGACATGCATGAAAACCTCCTAAGCTTACTTTTACCAGCTTAGGTTAAAACTTCCCCAAGATACAAATTAATTTTATCCTTTGTCCTTGGAATATCCACTGCCACCACCAGACTCTAACTGGGTTTACTGGGAAACGTAGTTTGGACACGTCTTTCCCCCCCAAATCCTCCCAACCCTTGCACCCCACTTCCTGGGAAAGGTTTGGTAAAAATCCTCACCAATTTGCATAGGTGACCACAGACCCAAACCCTTGGATCTGAGAACAATGAAAAAGCATTCAGTTTTCTTACAAGAAGACTTTTAATAGAAGTAAAGAAATCACCTCTGTAAAATCAGGATGGTAGATACCTTACAGAGTAATTAGATTCAAAACATAGAGAATCCCTCTAGGCAAAATCTTAAGTTACAAAAAGGACACACAGACAGGAATAGTCATTCTATTCAGCACAGTTCTTTTCTCAGCCATTTAAAGAAATCATAATCTAACACATACCTAGCTAGATTACTTACTAAAGTTCTAAGACTCCATTCCTGTTCTATCCCCGGCAAAAGCAGCGTACCAACAGACACAGACCCTTTGTTTCTCTCCCTCCTCCCAGCTTTTGAAAGTATCTTGTCTCCTCATTGGTCATTTTGGTCAGGTGCCAGCGAGGTTACCTTTAGCTTCTTAACCCTTTACAGGTGAGAGGATTTTTCCTCTGGCCAGGAGGGATTTTAAAGGGGTTTACCCTTCCCTTTATATTTATGACAATTTGGGAAAACTGGGCAGAACTCCTTCCCAGGCTGCTCCAGGGGCAGCAAAACATGCACCTTTGCCCAGGGGAAGCCATAAACTCACATTCTGTTATTAGTGTCTGATACCCTGAATTATAGAACACTGAGGACTCATACAATAAGAATTGTACAGACACACATTTCCATGTACAGAAAACATGTATTTTACAGGTATATCTGAAAATACTTTAACGTTCAATTTTTATTTATATGTACAGACTATTAAGATATAAGAAGCCTAACAAGACTTTTTGAAAGAACAGAACACTAAATTAGCCAAATTGGATTATGTATTTAATCATATTTTAATAGTTTGGCTGTATTCACATAGAAATTAATTTAGTGTTTTAGCTCCAGAAACTCAATCTCTCTACTCTCTGAGCAAAGAGCAGATCCACCAGATGAGCCTTTTCTACACATTTGTACTTTTGACATTCCATCAATTAGGTGGCAATAATACATATAGTGCACACACAATCTGTCACATTTCAACCGAGATACTCTTATCGCTGCTGAAAGCGCATAGAATTTAGCTTAAGTGATAAAGCTGTAAGTTTTCAGTTTGAGGATATTTTTATTAAAATCCTGCTTTGGATAGATTTCTCTTATAGGTGCCCAATTCTTGTTCTATCTTGACTGAACAACGTGACTGCATGCTAACTCTGAGAACACTCAGGGTAGGGTAAAGAAATTTAATACCCATGCTCCACAGTTTGCACTGGCTGCCAGTAAATCAATAGATTTCATTCAGAGTTTTGCTGATATTTATTTATTTATTTTTTAAAGCCTGGAGGAGTCTAGTCCTGAGGTTTGTGAATAACTATATCTTTCCATGAATCCCTAGAAGGCAACTGAGAGTGGCTGCGTTGTCCTCAGTGTCTATACTTAAGTGGTGTGCTCAGGCCAGGAGCAGGGGATTGGTGTGTCGTGGCCCTTCTGTAGAATTCTTTCTTAAGTAGTGTCAGCCAGGGTCCCTGTGTAGCTGTCTTCAGTATTTGGATCTAAACCTTTTCATTTGGAGCAGTCCATATTTTACAGACTCCTTTCCTTTTTAGATTATAATTTTTGCCCACATGGAGTTGAATGGGTGGTTTCTAGACCACTAGGACCAATGTTATTTTAATGGATGTTTTGAAACAAGTCTGATGTCTTGGATGACTCTAATGGGTGCATTATGGCACAAAGTAAAAATGATAAATGTCCCCTTGGTCAGAGTGCAGCTACTTGGAGAAAAGTGTAGAAGCCCTATCATCTTAATCCTCCAACACAGCCATCCAATCCATGATCTCTAGCTGTCTTGGCTCCTCCTGTTTGAAATTCCTGTCCGTTTGGGCATCTTTCTTCCACTCCCCCAATAGACTTCAGATGCTGTTCGGGTTCCTCCTCTGTCTCTTCCAGAATACAAACCTGTTTGCACATTGTGAATACTATATCTGTCCTCCTGATCTGAATCCATACTGCACATCTTCCATGTCAGACTACCTTGGTTCAATTGGAAAACTTTGTCAGTTGATGTTTCTTCCATTCAGTCATGTCCTTGTCTCATGTTTAAGTCTTACATAATAGAATGTCTGTCTTATTTATTTATTTATTTATTTATTTTTAAGAACTAACCTGTTTGCTGTCTTTCTGATCATTGCTAACATTTAAGTTGTTGAATTCTTTCATTTTTTCACCCATTCTGTGCCTCAGTTCCACTTAGACCAAACATTTTTCTTATTAGGAAATAACAGCATGAGTCCTAACTTCAGCTGGTATCTCAAAGTTCAAGATGACCTGTTGATAGCTAGCATCTTCTTTTGATCCTCAGAAAACCATTGTGCTGCTTCACCAACATCCAGTTTTACCAGTTAGCACAATGTGTTCAGTTGTACATCATTTCACACCTCTTAGTCAGCCCAGATAGCTTTTGTTTCTATTTTCAGTTTCTGTTCTAAAGTTACTATTTTGAAATATTTTTAGCATCAGAATGCCCATTGTATTGCCACAAAGAACTTTTCATTCCACATACTTTTCATTAGGATTTTTGTTTTTCCACTCAGTCATTTTGTTGCTGAAATACCTCCCTTCAGCTGGTTTTTGTAATCTCAAAAACTAATTCTTGACTCTTAGTAACATCAACTGAATGTCCAAAGAATCGGGATATCTGCTCCTGTCTTTCTGAGACTTTGAGCAGGAATAATCTCTATTTAAGGAAAAATGTGTCAGAAAATGAATGTTTTTTAGCACTCTGTTATGGCTTCTGTACTGTCACGTGACACTACATTTTATTCACACTGCTATTAGAAAGCATCATTGTGTATTGATCTAGTACTACAATAATAATAAGCAGATAGAAATGTATTGGACTGGAAGGGACCTCGAGAGGTCATCTAGTACAGCCCCTGCACTGAGGCAGGGTCAAGTATATCTAGATCATCCTTAATAGGTGTTTGTCTAACCTGTTTTTTAAAACTCCACTGACAGGATTCCAGAACCGCCCTTGAAATCTATTTCAGTGCTTTTTCACAATTAAATCTTCTTGTTGGTTTGTATTCAATTCATGATCCACTATAACTCCCAGATCCTTTTCCGCAGGACTACAGTTTAGCCAGTTATTCCCAGTTATTGGCTTCTCCTAAGGTAAACATGAAGATTTAATGATTGATGCAAAACCTAGGCCAGTGTTTTAAAAAACTTGGTTTTCATGCACACAGGAAGTCAGATTATGAATTATTTATTACATATAGTCTCAGACACTTAAAAGGCCATGAATTTATTAACTCAAATACCTGACATTCTTGAAGAAATGGAAGTATGAGGTAACAAACTGACAGCTGAAGAGTATTTCAGGCATCGTAATTTGCATGTGATTTGATTGGTTAACAATGTTCTAAACTTGCTTATGGACCTCTGAGAAGGTAAGCAGCAGCTACTTCCTAGCTTGTTACATAATTGATTTAAGTTATTCATGAACTAGAAACTTTTTCCTTTCTATGTAATTGTGGATTTTTGTCTCAGAACTCTAACAGATAGTAATTTTGTCATTGTAGACCCTCTGGACTTCCTAAAGACAGCAAGTTGATGACACCAAGAAGAGCATTTATGGCCATTCTTCTGATTTTTGTTAGCTGTACCACTTGTGGGGCATTTGCTGTATTAATTATCTATATTCACTACATGTTCAAGGTATTAAAACAGTGAATAATTGAGTCAATATCTGAATTAAACTCTTTAGGTATTTCAATAGTAGATGACTACCAAAGAGAAAATATAGAACAGTTTATCCTTTTCAGGATTTTAAAAATGCTCTAATATATGCGGAAACTTTTAAAATCCATACTTTTCTGGTGTGCTTCGTAATCCAATGATATTTTTTAAGTCTTTTACTCATCTGAGCACGTCCTCCTGAAGGAACTACAAACTTAATCTTTGTTTGTCTATTGTAAAGTGATATTATGCACAGATGTCTAATGCGGTGAGTCTACTTTTCAAATCCAGGTTTATAAAACCAAGGGCCTGATTTTGCCCCCTTATGGAAATTTGAGTAATGGGAAGGGACCTTGATTGATGGAATCTTTGCAGAATTTTCCTCCTCTGAGTTTTCCCAAAATTTTTCTGGAGGGGACATGTGTGTGCACACTGTCAAATGAGTAGCAATTTGGTCTCCAAATTCACTGTATTCCCTGTGATCCAAAGGAGGCTAGAGCCATCTGCATGTTACCTGCATGCTGACACCCTTCAACACACACACACCTTTTTGACTGCAGCAGATTCTCTGAAAATAAGCATCTCTTGTGTATTTTGTTGAGGGATTCTGAGGAAGGCGAAATGGAAGTAAAAGGGGCACGGAATATGTGGAGTTTTCCCTGCCCTCTGTCAAACTCAGTGGAAAAAACAGGGAAACTAATACACCCACCATTCTGAGCACTTGAAAAGGTGTTGGAGGACATTTCTGGGAAAGTCCTTTTCATTACAGCTTCAGTTAAGCTGTGCTCCCAAGGAACCAAAATATCAGGACAGAAGACTCTAGAGCCAGCACAGAGGTTTTTTTATTTAGGCACTGCAGCTGTTGTGTGTAGAACCTATGTAAAAAAATAAACATGTCTGTTTTCTCATAGGTTATTAAGCTACATTCAAATGTAAGAACAGAGCAAAATGTTCTTAATATGGTAAGTCTATTTAATACTATAGATGACAGAAAACAATCAGTACCCCTGTATGGGGTTGTGTGTTTATCATGTCTCAAGAATGTCGGGTGGCAAGCGACATTGACAGCTGTGATTTACCCAGACTTGGTAGTTTTAAAATGGAAATAAGTTTAGTTGGTGGTTTGGTGACTTGAGGGGTCTAGAACTCGCACTGGAGGTAATGGCTTCTTGTAGAGGTAATGGCTTCTTTGGTTCACTGGAGTAGAAGAGGGGAAAAAAGCAGAGACTCTTGAGTAGCCTGTGTCAGCACTGATGTCTGTTTTATTCTCATTCTTGAGATCACTGAGGTGATAACCTGAGATTTGATGCCATTGGTAAGAAGTCTTTAATCTTAGGATAGGAAGAAACAGTAGTTATTTGTCTAGCTAATTATTTTGTCATTTTCCTGTGTGTAATTTTCCTTTTGTGTTCCCTGAATATAATAGGGAGAAAATGTTCTTTCTTGCATCTAATTGTGTAGGCTGGTAATAACCTGTGCTCTACCTATAAATACTAAGCTCAGGAATTAACCATGGGTGGGATACAAGAGGAGAGGTAGTAGGACTTAATTAATAAGGACTTGCGGGGGGAGATATGGACTAAACTTCTGATGGCCAGGAAGTTGTTAAGAATGAATGGAAAACTCAATATTAGACCAGTTTCATGCATGGGGACATTTAGAATATTTTCTGCTTCTTTCTCCCATTACTTAACTATAGAATCGAGGGGTGCATACATTAATATATGTGCTCAGAATAGCTACCCTCACTTTCCAGGTTTAGAATTACATGCCAGGGAAATGAAATAAAAGACATCTTTAATTCACTAACCTAAAAGTTGTAATTTTTTCTTGCTTTTTTTCTAATTTTTTTCTCCTGTCTTATTTCTTTCCTTCCATCTTTAATTAATTCTGTCCATCTCCGTCACATTCCCATTTGTCTACTCTTTTCTTGTATTAGTCTCTTCTTTGAAAATCAGCATCCCCTTTCTTTATCTTTCATCTTTCAGTCCTGCTGCCTGTCTCCAACTCTGCTTATGGTATCTTCCACCTTTCTCTCTGCATTCTCATCTCTGATCTTCACATAGACTCTTTACTGTCCCCTGTACTCTGTTGTTCTTTTTTTTCTGTCCTTCCTCCAGGAGCTCCCTGAGGTCTCCTCATGGTATCTCCACTCCCCATCCTTGTTCTCATTCCTCTTGGAGTCCTGAAGCCAATGCTCTAAAAGGAGAGACTGTGGTTGAATTAGAAGCTTTAAAAGATGAATATTTCTTTTAAAAATGCTTTTTCAGGGAATCCAAGATGGTGGTCCTTTACCTTGGCTAGATCTGGGTAAATTGCAAATCTGTTTATTTTCCTACATGAGATATGGCACATTGCAATTATGTTAATGGTGTTCTTTATGTTAATTTTAGGGCTGTTGATTAGTTGCGGTTAACTCACGTGATTAACTGGAAAAAAATTAATCACGATTAATCGCAGTTTTAATCGCACTGTTAAGCAATAGAATACCAAGTGAAATTTATTAAATATTTTTGTATTATTTTCTACATTTTCAAATATTTGATTTCAATTACAACACAGAACACAAAGTGTACAGTGCTCACTTTATATTATTATTTGTATTACTAATATTTGTACTCAAAAAATGATAAAAGAAATAGTATTTCTCAGTTCACCTCATACAAGTACTGTAGTGCAATCTCTTTATCGTGAAAGTGCAATATGTAGATTTTTTTTTTGTTACATAACTGTACTCAGAAACAAAACACTGTAAAACTTTAGAGCCTACAAGTCCACTCAGCCCTACTTGTTCAGCCAATCGCAAACACAAACAAGTTTGTTTACATTTACGGGACATAATGCTGCCTACTTCTTATTTACAATGTCACCTGAAAGTGAGAACAGGCGTTTGCACTTTTGTAGCTGGCATTTCAAGGTATTTACGTGCCAGATCTGCTAAACATTTGTATACCCCTTCATGCTTTGGCCACCATTCCAGAGGACATGCTTCCATGCTAATGACGCTTGTTAAAAAAAATAATGCGTTAATTACATTTGTGACTGAACTCCTTGGGGGAGAATTGTATGTCCCTGCTCTGTTTTACCTGCCTTCTACCATCTATTTCATGTTATAGCAGTCTCAGATGATGACCCAGCACGTTGTTCATTTTAAGAACACTTTCACTGCAGATCTGACAAAATGCAAAGAAGGTACCAGTGTGAGATTTCTAAAGATAGTTACAGCACTTGATTCAAGGTTTGAGAATCTGAAGTGCCTTCCAAAATCTGAGAGGAACAAGGTGTGGAGCATGCTTTCAGAAGTCTTAAAAGAGCAACACTCCAATGTGGAAACTACAGAATCCAAACCACCAAAAAAGAAAATCAACCTTCTGCTGGTGGTATCTGACTCAGATGATGAAAATGAACATGCGTTGGTCTGCACTGTTTTGGATTGTTGTTGAGCAGAACCCATCATCAGCATGGATGCATATCCTTTGGAATGGTGGTTGAAGCATGAAGGGACATACTAATCTTTAGGGCATTTGGCACGTAAATATCTTGTGACGCTGGCTACAACAGTGCCATGTGAATGCCGGTTCTCACTTTCAGGTGACACGACCAAGAATCGGGTGGCATTATCTCCTGCAAATGTAAACAAACTTGTTTGTCCAAGTGATTGGCTGAACAAGAAGTATGACTGAGTGAACTTCTAGGCTCTAAAGTTTTACATTGTTTTATTTTTGAACGCAGGGGTTTTTTTTGCATAATTCTACAGTTGTAAATTCAACTTTAAGGATAAAGAGAGTGCACTACAGTACTTGCAATCGGGCAATTGAAAAATACTATTTCTTTTGTTTTTTCAAGTGCAAATATTTGTAATAAAAATAAATATAAAGTGAGCACTGAACACTTTGTATTCTGTGTTGTAATTTAAATCAATATATTTGAAAGTGTAGAAAACATCAAAAAATGTTTAAATAAATGGTATTCTATTATTAACAGCCAAATTAATCACAATTAATTTTTTTTAAATGCTTGATAGCCCTAGTTAATTTTATTAGCCTTATCTACTCTGTACCAATATTTTCGTTTTTTTCTTTACAGGATCCAAAGTACGCAAAAGAAACTTCAGATAATTCCAATAAAGAGACAGTAAAGAACTGTGACTCAACAGAGACCATTACAGAAGCAGCAGCTGCATCACCCACTGCCAATAGAGCTATTGACAATGTTGTAAACAGTCTTAAGATACATATTACAATCATCAATTTACTTACATGGATTGTGCTTCTCAGTTCACCGTCTTTAATTTATTGGTTTAAAAATCTCAGGTAACCTTTAAACTGCCAGCATAAAAAGAAAATCAGCATGATAGTTTGCTTAGTACTTATCTCCCAAATGGCTGACGATTCAGAATTACAAAGCTTTCTCTGACTATTAATATTACTTTATAGTAGTATCCAAAGGTTCTAATCGAATGATTTAAATAACGGGTATCTGTACACATCAGTTTGTATAATGGATTATGGTTAGCTATTATGTAAAGCAAATTATATGATAGAGACATAAGGGATTTACAGGCAGGACTGAATCTTAGCCCCCTCTGATTTACACTGAGAATGCTCCCTAATTTCTTTTATTCGTATGGGATTAGCTGTTCAGATGTTGCCAGGCTGTCCTTTTGATTGTTTAATTTCTGTTTGGTTTAAAGTGGTTTAAAAACAAAAAAAAGGGGGGGAATAATATGCTGTCTTTGCACAATTTGCTTATTTTGTAGGTACAATATTAGACTTGATCCTGATCCATGTAGAACTATGGCTATTATTCTTGTATCCACTTTGGGAATCCTCATGAATTCAAGTACCACTAAAGTAAAATCAAGGTATCCTCTATTATTATTTCCAGTCCTCTTGTAGACCATATACCTGTCTTCACGTTTAATTCTTACTCTTGAGTCCTTTTCCACTTCTGTGGTTAAAGTTGATTTGTGTTACACAGATATTTAACTGGTAACCCCTCATTAACATTCATGACATTTGTATTATTAAACCTTGAAATGGAGAGCCAGGTATCTTTTCAAACTACATTTAAAAATGGACACAGATCAGCTCTAGTTTAGTCAAATGCAACAGATCATTTCTGTTCACCAACTAGGATATGAATGTAATATTGATTTGACACCTAAACAATCTGTCAGATCAAGAACTTCAGCTTTCCATTCAGACCTTATTGAATCCTTCAGAGCTTTATTCTTAACAGGTGATTGCGAGTCTTCGGCCTTGTATACACGGGAAAGTTATATTTGTATAAAGTAAAGATGTGAATTTAAGCTCCCATATTGTTGCACTGTGATAATTCCCTGAATGGACACTTATTCTGGGATAAGAATGTCTTTTTCTGGTTTACTTTATGTTGCTTTGGAAGATGTTCAAGTTAAACTGAAAAAAATCGTCTCTTATTCCAAAATTAGTGTCCCACATGAGGGAGTTGCATCATTTAATTAGGGCAGTATAACTGGAAAAATTTCTCATATAGGCAAGCCCTTAATAAAAGAAATTCATGAAAAACTTATTGCACATGAATCATCTGCTTCTAAATTAAAATACTTTACCTTGTTGCGCAAAATAGCACAGAGTGAATAGTCAACCTAGCCTTTAACAACAGAGTGAAGCCTTCCATGAATGGTTTCAGTTGACAATGCTAGTAGATGAAGTCCTTTATTTATCCATAGTACAGGTACAGTGCAGAGAGTCACAGCACAAGGTTTTCCAAATCACCCATTACACATTAAAATCAATACATTCTTCTTAAAAGCAAGTTCAACTGTGTGTTTGCACCAAAGTGCCTCGGTCCTTTCCAGGCCCATTAGAACTTCTGGCTTCTATGCAAAAGCTATCAATTAGTACCAATTGTGTAAAGTGCTGTAAAACATCAGGCATTGTTTTTCTTTAGGTGTGAAACAATTAGAGCATTTATTTTTAAATATTATTTTTCAAAATATTAAAAACATGCACATTAAGGTGGCTTTAAAATTTTTTTTTTAAGGATTATTTTTAGCCTTCACGTTGTATATTCTTGCTTTTAGATGAACAGCCTTAATGAGGAACAGGTAACTTCTTTAAATGAAAATCTCTAAACCTTAATATCAATACATCCTTCTTCAAATCAGGTTCAAGTAAAATCATCCTTCTTGCACAACTTTGACTCCTTCTGTTTGCTTTGAAGTTACAAAAATGGTAAACTGTTTTTCTCTCTTCTCACAGTAAACTGTCGAAAATTGCAGCGCAACTTCCTCTCCCTTTGTCTGCAGCTGTGGTGGCCTTTGGACCAATGCATTTATACAGAGCACCATACTTTGTAATCTGTTCTCTTCTTCTACATATGTTATGTTGTATTGTATAAATCTTTAGTTTCCCAAATGAAATCAGAAAAGCAGTGTGACCCAGAAATGGATGCTGCAAAAAAATGTCAAGTTGAACAAAGAAATGTCCAGATCAATGTAACCACTAATGAACATCATTTGGAGTAGATGACAGAATTGTGACCACTTCTTGTTAAGTTTGGGGTGTTTGGGAAATCTCAGAAACCTGCTCGTGGTGTTAGTTTACTAATCTGAAAAATTGATGGGAAAATTGCAATATTTCTCTGGACACAAAAATCTCTTTTCTTATTAGCATAACACTTCAGTGTTCTAGATTTCAGTAGGCAGACCATTCTGTGTCCACACTGCAGACATTTTGATATTTCTGTTGACACTTGGTTTTCTGTTGAAACACGTTTACCTTGCTGTGTGTATGTATTGAACCTATGTCTTGTTCTTGAGTTTTAAAATGTGATGGGTAAAATTCACAAATGATTGAAAGTGCATCACAAAACTAAATAGCCAAGAATACTTTTAATCATTTTATGCCACACTAACAAGCTGTCACAACTTTCTTTTTTCTTGTATCTAAACAAACTGGAATGTATTGTGTCTACTGATCGGTTATTTCTAACAAATCAAACATTTTTATCAGTGTCTGTGGCACATTTGTGTGATTATTGAAAGCGTTGGTGGCTTATAAACTTTATCTTTTGTAAGAGTGATAAAACTATGTCTACTCTATGTTGCTTTCTATTCAGGAAGATATCATAGATTCATACACAATTTCTGTAATGTTGTTTTAAAACATTGACAAATTCTGAAGAAAACCTGTGCCAGAATTTTAGTAATAGTGGGAAATACTGACCATAATAATCAATTCTGTAAAGTAGCATCTTATTGCCTCGATCCTACAGTGACTGGCATTGTTAAAATACCTAAGACAGATATCTGTAATGTATGGCAAATCTCTCCCTTGGTACTGTACAAGTGTTTTAAAACAAAACAAACAAAATTGTGTCCATCAAGCTAAAATTATCTATAATCCTTGTAAATCTGATTGGTTGATTCTAAAGAGAGATGGACTGTCTACTCATTTCTGTGTATCTTATCTATCTCTAGTATTTCTGAGGCACCTATCACCTTAATATCAAAGCACTGATCCTATCTGATAGCCTTTTTTTTTTGGATCATCTCTTCTTATGAATAGGTTGAGGAAATCCAGTACCAACAGTCAAGTTACATCATATGCTAACCCCCCAAGGGGGGGGGGGGGGGGGGGGGGGGGGGGGGGGGGGGGGGGGGGGAGAAGAAAAAAAAAAAAAAAAAAAAAAAAAAAAAAAAAAAAGAGGGGAAGAAGAAGAGAAAAATGGGGGGGGGGGGGGGGGGGAAAAACGGAGTTGGGGGGGAAAACCCCCCTGTATTAAAAAAAAAAATAAAAGGAAAGGGGGGGGGGGGGAGGTATTGTTTCATATTCTCTGTGTGTATATAAAGTCTGCTGTTTCCCGTAACATCAGTGACCCCCCAGACCCCCCCCCCAAAAAAAGGTGGGCTAGGGGCGCCACAAACCCCCCTTTCTTTTTGAAAAAAAAAACAAACACGGCTGTTCCCCGAAAACCCACCATATGCTCCGTACACCAGTAGAGCCTAAACCCATTTGTTCTATTGTATTGCATCATTCTTGCCTGAAGTGCCTCAGTTAATTCTGGCTTGTTTTTAAGAGTCTTTTAGTTGAGCTGGCTGGGAACTCTAAGTTTATGCAATGACTTTCCAAACTGAAAGTGTGAGGTGACATGACAAACTGCAGCACCTTACTTTTGTCAGCTCATAAACAAGCCACTCGCCCAAGCTATCCGTGAACCCTTAAGACGGCTTTAAGTATGAATAAGATAACAGTAACTAACTGTGTCACCATTACTGTTATCAGTAATGTATATGCTGGTTTTCTAATCTTAACATTTATATAATGCTAGGCTATTCATAGTTTTTGTAAATCAGAAAAGGTCTTTGGACAAACAACACTCTGAAATTTGATTTCTACCCAAATGTATGTATATGACACAAACACTCCTAGTATGCTGTGTGTATTTGTAGCCAAATTCTGCAGTTCTTTATCCTAAAACCTCATATTCAAATACAGAGTAGAGTAATAATATTTCTAGTTTTGGATGATTGTGTAATGAGAGAGAGAGTAGCAGAGCCATGTAGAGTTTTCTGTAAGCCATTACAATCAAGTGAAAGCTATTTATCCTCGGTTGGTCTTCATTGCTGCATATTGTACTGTTTCTAGCATCCCCAGGCCTGATTTTTGCTACTCTGACCACTGAGTAGTACTTTATTCTGCAAATAGATCCATTTACACTGTTGCAGTGGTTAGATATCCTCACTGTTAAATATTTACTTCCTGTTTGAACTTTTCCCGTTTAGCTTCCAGCACTATCTTTTTTATGTCCTGGTTTGCTAAATAAGACCCTCCCCCCCCCCCCCTTACTATCAGCGGGGTGTGTGTAAATTCTTGTGCACTAAAATTAAATTGCCTCTTAACTTCCTTTTGAATGAGATAGTAAATGAGTTCAATTTATTTCTCTTATTGTAAAATGAGTTTTCCAGGCCACAAATCATTCTTGTTGCTGTTCTTCAAATCCCCTCTAGTTTTTTAAAACCCTTTTTAAAGTATGGACACCAGAATTGGCCACAGTATTTCAGCAATGGTCAAATCACCTCCCTCCCTGTTCGTAAAACACTTCTGTGAATGAGGAGACTAAAACGTGTCTTTAGGCTTATTTCTGTTGATTATGGCCTTCTGTGGGTACATATGAAATTTTTATTTTATAAACTGCCATCTACATAGCATATATTAAGACGTTATGAAAATTAGAATAAAATGTTACCCTATTTTAAGTAAACTATTCATTAAATAGCAAGTATAGAAATGTATTTTTACTGCTTTGTAGGACCTCACATACCATCTGTCTCAAAATGAGAACTGATGGAAGTCAAACCCAGACTATTACTGTGTTTTCCTAAGACAAACATCTGAGCTGTTGCTATCCCAAACCACCGTCATAGGGTATGGATGGAATACCTTTCACGTTAGGTAGAAATTATACAACTCTTGCATTTATTAATGGTGTAGTTTATATAGCAATGTTGTTTTAGCCATGTTGGTACAATGGATTAGAGAGACAAGGTGGTGAACTGTTATCTTTTATTGGACCAACTTTTGTTGGTGAAAGAGACAAGCTTTCAAGCTCCACAGCTAAATCAGCTGTGACACTCTGAATACCTTTCCCAGACCTGAAGAACAACTCTGTGTAGCTCAAAAGCTTGTCTCTTTCACCAACAGAAGTTGGTCCAGTAAAAAGACAATACCTTATCTACCTCGTCTCTCTCTAGTTTATGTAGAGCAATACCTTTTCTCAGATGAGATGATGATACTCATAGGATTCCCATACAGCAGTCTCAGGCTGAGTGTGTTTTACAGAATTGTTAAAATCTTTGGTCTAGATTTTCAAAAGTGACCAATGATTTTTGTATGACCAACCTGGAATTCCTTTTTGTGACTTAATTTTTTCAGACTGTGCTGAGCACCGACCCTCTGCAAATCAGGCCCTTTTAGAGTTGTGTACATGTACACCTGTGTACAGCCTCAGGTGTGCGTCTTGGCTTTCGTTGCTTTTTGTGTCACAATCCTAACCCCCTATAGAAATTAATTGTAATTATATTAAGATTTTATTTTTTCCCCTAGAAACCTTACCTAAAGCTGTAAAGACCACATTAACAATGTACACTTAATATCTGGGCCTGTTTAAAAGCAAGTATAATACTGTAGTGTTCCCATAAGCATTGTATAGTGAATAATATTTCTGAAGAAAAATTAATTATTTTACATATAACCTGCGAAGGACTTTACAAAAAATAAACTTATGCCATATTTTGGTTCTTTCTGATCCATTAAAGCATTTCAGATCCTTTTATTCATTTTTGGATTTAAAATTTTTTTTCTAAGAATATGAGGACAGTCAACTGGCTTTTCTGGCTCTTGCGATAGGACCTACTGGATATCAGAAGATTGTTAAACCTCACTTTTTAATTGAAGGGGCAGGGATGTTGAATCCAGTACAAAGATGACCTTTCTTCAAAATGTTAAATAGTCATTGGACTTCAAAACTTTTATTTTTATTAATTCCTGTTTAAATGGTGTGAGTAAAAATCTTCTATCAATCACTCCACTTTCACTTTCTTGACTTTGTTTTGCTAGTTCCAATCATTGTTCCTTTCCAAGCTAGCCAAAACCTGAATTTCTAATATGAAAAACCTTAAAAAAATACCACCGCACACCACCTACCAATGTTGAGAGCACCTTTATAATCATAAAGAACCAAGAAAAAATTGAACAAGCCCAATAATTTGTTTCCTTTGCAGATCGTCTTTTAATTTCTCCTCCAAATGCCATGATAGACTCTTGCCCCTGCAAAATATCAGTTCATAGTGTTTTAAAGTAATTACAAGAGCTCTTAAAAATGTTGGAAACCACAAACAATTTTGGAATTTTTATAATTTCAAAACAGCCTAATTGATTTTTTGTAAATTTTTTCTTATAGTTTGAGATCTTGTATGGTCAGTTTAAACTTGGCATGAATGTTTTTGGTAGAGTTAACCCCAGCAGTTACAGGTTTATAGAGACTGTTGACAGGGTCTTAACTAAAGTTGTGGGAATATTGAGGCTATAATCCGTTATCATTCTTTATAAAAATGATTGTAATTGAGTTCTCAACTATACTTTATGCAATATATGATAAATATAAATAGTTAGGGCCTGATCCTGTGAGGTGCTGAACACACCTTGAAAGATGTTGAGTACATTACTGAAATCCAATGAAAGATGAGAGCTCTCAGCACCTTGCTCTTGGAGCCTAGTCCTTTTCCTGTTAGAAGTTAGATTTGAACGGGAACTCGTTTGCGACCTTCATACTGTCTGAAGGGTCTATTCTGT